TGTTGAAGGATAACAAAGTAAGAACTATCGAAGTTTTGAGAGCTGCCAGGGTCCATCTCTACTGTGGTTGTATTGTCGCTAATCCTTTGGCACTTGGTCTTTAAGAAGGCAGCGTATGTTGAGTTCAGGTTAGGATCCTGGTCTCCTTTTACCCTATATATATATATATATATATATATATATATATATATATATATATATCTGTAATACAAACAACTATTGTTAGTATTCTATCAAAGTCAAAAGAGAACACGATAACAAAGGTCAAAACTCAATGTTGTTGATGCTAGTGGTTGATTGGGTTTCGAAGAATAATTAGATCCATCTATGAATCGTCCTTGCACATGGCTATATATATAGTTAATTAATCAGATGCGTGTATTCTTGGGTTGGCCCCAGAAATTTGGGTATAACGACAATAACTAGCCAGTCTCTACTTAAATACCTAGGGAGGGTTCCTCGTTCCATGCCGTGATACTTGTGTTGAAACCCAAGGTCAGACCAACAATGTGCCTCCAGCTAGTTTCGTTTGGGAAAAATATTATCTTTTTTGGTTTCAATGCATAGTGCCATTCTTAGAATCTGGCATTGAGAAGCCGGAATGGATAAAAAAACGTTGGGGCATAATGATTCCACAAGGCAAATAAATGCATGAGTCGCATGCAAGACATGCAATTTTTTAGAGTGAAAAGGAATTTGATAGATTGTTCAGTTTGACATTTTAATCGAATATTAATTACCTCGATTGTGAAAACTAAATTAGGTTTAGTTGGATGAATTAGAACAGACTCGGTACTTACCAAACTAATGATTAGCCAAAAACATTCATCAAATTATTGTTAAATTCCCAGTCGACACTTTCTGATCAAATTGAAGAATCGTGCATATAAAATAGTTTGGAAAAGAAAAGGTGAAAATAAGAACATGGGATTGTCTATTTCATAAGATTTATCAACTGAAAAAGTCAAATTTTTCTTTCATTTTTTAGTTGGTCAATGGAGTTTTTAATTTACTTTTTTTAAAAATATGTTAGAAAATAATATAAATTATATATTGAGTTTTTATTTAATAGTTTAATTTTTAAAATAAAATAATCCTTTGACAGCAATGGCGGACCTACGTTGATGGCTACAGGGGCTCGGGCCCTCTCCAATTTTCTTATAGTGCTTCCAAATATTATACATGGTTTATTTTTCTGAAAATTTTGATTTAACGATAAAGACTTAAAAAAAATAGAAAGGAAAAAAGAGAAGAGTGAACCTACATGTGATGCGACATAACAAGTAAGCAGTGGTAGAGTTTATTTATAATTTTGTTATAAATGAATTTTTATTTATTTATAATTTTGTTGACTTAAAATGAAATTGGCTTTGCTTTGGATGAAAACTGTTGATTTCATTACGATTTGATATAATGAAATTGCTTATCAAAAGAACTGCATTAACTATTAATTAACAACGAAAAATTGAGATTCAAAATACATCAAAATCTTGTATTTATAAACTAATGTGTCAAAACACCAACCAATAAATGTGGTCTAGCGGTAAACTAATAGTTTTATACCTAAAATTCAATTTCAAAACCACTTGTACATCCAATATTCTCAAAAAAAAAAAAAAAAAAAAAAAAAAAAAAAAAACCTTCAATCTTTTTGTTTTTGTACCTTAAAATTATATATCTACTCACTTATTTATAATGATCAAAATTATTAGTAGACAAAGAATGTTTAATGGATAAAGAATCTTTGGTCATAACATTATCCTTTAAACCTTTTCATTACTCCAAGGAATATAAGTAAAAAGCCCAACAATTTCAATCTTGGCTAATATTATTACCACCTTGAAGTTTATTGGGTCCACAAAAAAAAATTTAAACGTAAATTGGTCAAAATGACATTGCATTTTCAATACAATGATGCCAAAATATAAATATAGAGACTGTTCCAAGATATGCCCTGTCATAATTAAGACAATTGAGTTCAATATTAGTTTTGAAAAGAAATAAGGGCCTAATTATTGGTGTTAATTTTAAGCTCTTCAACAAAAATAGAGCAAATGAGCTTAAGTGACTACATACAAGAGCAATATGAAAATCTCAAAATATCTCCAAGGTAGTAGAATTGTTTTCCAATGTGCTTGAATGATAATTACAATGTGCTTGAATGATAATTATAATTTGTATTTAAAGACAAAAAAAAATTTAAAAATGTATAGAGTGATAACACTTATTCTTACTCTTTCAATTTTTAAAGCTACAACGGAGCGATCATTTTTAGCTATAAGCATAGTCAATACTAAGTTTTATAACAATAAGGAAGATGACCTTCTTTCGATTGTTTGTTAGTATATATTGAGAAAAAAAATTTGCTGAAAATTTTAGTATAGATTCACTTATAAATAATTTTCGTGACTCGAAAGAACAAATATCTATATTTTGAGTGATTATATTTTAAGATTATCTTAAAATATATGTTGATATGTTATTTATAATATATATAAATTTGTATAAATCATGATAAATTTATAAATATATTTACTTTGATCCCTGTGGACATTTAGTTATGCCTCCGTCACTGTTTGACAAGGTATTTAATATACGTCACATACTTGGAGGTTTTGCTATGAATGTTGGGAGCTGTCCATCCTTTCATGCGAAGTTATTGGTTGCTTAATTAAACTATATATGATCAGGGTTAATTATATCTTTCATGCAGAGTCTCAAAGGGGGCATGTTTAATTAAATTATGATTAAGGGTAATTATATATTTCTTGGGAGTCAAGTTACCAACGGGTTCTTGATGAGATGCAAGGATTTCCAGCTGGTTGGAACAGATTAAAATGTGTGAAAGTCCACCGACTCCTAAAATTGATTCAATGAATGCCCATGTGCAGCGAGCCAATTAAAGTATGGGTGGCAGTGAATTAGGGCTGGGCAGGCAGGGTTTTTGCCCATCCATCTCATGATCTCCAAAATATCCAAATCAATCGTCCATTTTCGCTCTTTATTTGATCGGATTGGATTGATGAAGGACTTTCTCTACCTGCTGCTCATACTCGAATCCATCTGTTTTTCTTTATATATATCTCGATTTTTAAAAATAAAATTTAAACCTAATTAAGAAAAAGACTACATTTTCATCCATGAATTATAAAATCATACAATAAAATTTAAATTTAAATTTAAATTCCTTATAAAATAAAAACCCATATATTACATATATATATATATATATATATATATATATATATATAAATAAAGTTACAACTTCACAAAAAAAAAATAATAATAAATAAAAATTAAAAAACTGAGTTGGATGATAGGTGAGTAAATTTCTTAGTCTCTCCGCATCCGACTTTAGTTAAACAAGATCAAATTTTATGTTCTCTCTTTATATAATTATGATATGACATAATCGGATGACAATGGAAACAGATACATGAATGATGGGGTGAAATTTTGAATTTTTTTTCCCAAATTAAGGTAATTTAAAATCTTATTTACAAAAACAAGTCACTTTAAATTTTGTTTACTAAATTAAGGCTTTTAGGTTATCCATGTCATTTTATGTTTAATTATTTTTAAAAAAATTTTGATAATCAATAAGCAATGTTATATATGAAAAAAAAAAAACTTTAATTCAAATAATTGTACAATACTTTTTTGTTTATGCACCATCAAAAGCTTTCTAAAAATCAATCCATCTTTCCAACTAACTAAAAAGATAAACATCATTATTGAATTGTTGTTTTGTTCCATTAAGAAATCAATCTATCTTTATCTTTCTAACTAGCAAGATAAACATTGTTAGATATTAAATTATTTTTTGTCCCAATCTGATCGCTACTTTCTCTTTTGCTCTCTCTCCAAAGTTAGGGTTCTTATCAAATTTGGAGTCAATAGATTTTTTTAACTCCAAAAATTTGGACTTATTAATATTGTTTTAGGTAATTCATCGTAAAGTCAACGTAAATCTGTCAATTAACCATTATTGACCTTCCTTATGTTTTTCATTGTCTTTTCTCTATTCTTTGCCTTCCTTCTGTTTTGATACAAATTACAATTGAATGCATGAAGATTTTTTTTTTTTTTTTTAATAAAAGATAGAGAAGCTATATAACAGCAAGATAGAAAAAAAAAAGTATTTATTTTATTAAAGCTTATAATTAACCTCTATAATTTTTATAATTTTAGATTAATATTTAAATTTTATAGCACAAAAAATGTTCTTTTTCCAAAATTTAGATTAGTGATTTATAACATTGAGAAAGAGGTTTTATTGATTTCTTAATTATTTTTTACATGACATAGATATTATTTTGAAAAAAAAATGACATTGATTTTTCATGTGGATCTTACATGGCATAAAATGTATTGGTTTGGGAAATAAGATTAAAACTATGTCTTTATGAGAAATAAACTGTGTGGAAAAAGAAAAACTCGAGAACGAGTTTTTAGATCATTTTTTTCAGTAAATTTCAACTGTTGGATCACTTTGGTACTCCTCAAAAATCAAAATCCTATTTTCACCTCTAATTAATGCATATAAATGCATCTTTTTCATAGGGGAAAAGAGAACCAAATAATCCAGAACGAGTTTGTATCTGTCCAAATTAACCAATTCTGTTCACAAAAACACACTTTAAACACTTAATTGACAATATGATCTACATCTTCGTCATATTCAATAAGAACAATTCAAAAATTGTACATGATCTCTTCACCAAATCTTTCACATGCACTGCATTGTATTGGAGCACCACTAACAAGTTTTAAAGCAGATCTTCTGCAAAGGTGGATCTCAAAAATGGTATTAAATTTTTCGACACTCTTATTTGCCATGATCAAAGGTGAATACTTTGCAAAGGGAACGAAAGTCAACGTTAACCATTCGAAAACGATTAGAAGGTGAGCCTTTATGAATTAATATGCTGTTTATTTATGATATGCCCCAGATATCAGAACAATTTGTCAACACATCATAAAATGTGAAGGATTTGTAATCACTCACTGACCAAAAATAGCTTCTGGTCATCACTAATCATGTTCACATCAAGAATTTTGCCACCATTTTCAGATAAAAGACAACCACCTGAAGATTTTAATTGCTCCATAGCTGCTTTGACAAGCTCTTCAATGGTTTGAGGAACCCACAAAACAATTCCTTCTCTTCTCTTCTCTTTTGGATCCCATGGATGGAAGGGAAACACTGTGCATTTCCTTCTTTGCACATCATCTGTTATTGGCAATTAATGAAGAAGGATTTTGAGGTTATGACCAGTAGTCTAGTAGATAAATTAACCACTTCAAGCATAACAACATCAGAAGAGCTAAAATAAGGCAAAATATGTTTCAACCAAGTGATTTCTAATTGCAGTGTATTCCCTGAAAAACTGTTTGAAAACCCTTGGTGCAAACTACATTGTTCTGGAAATTTAATTAAAAGGAATGCGTCTCATCGCTGAATAATACCTGATCAACCCATAGTTGATGCAGAAACTGATCCAAAAATAAAATTTCACAGGTAGAATCAATTCCACTAAGCTGCTATTTTGCAGTCCCTATATATGGTGTTTATCCATGAAAAAGATAAAAACAGGTGTGAGGACTGGGGAGGAAGGGAAGAGGACGGATAATAGCAAATGACAGTACATAAGCAGTGGAAGAAGACACTTAAAACTTGAGATTTGTTTTCTTGATAGAAAAAGATGAGTACACAACTTCTTGGAATCACATATATAGATACATCATCCAAATTTCATTTTCTTTTGTCTGAAAGAACAATTCTGGAAATCAAGACAACCTAATGGGATTTCATAATAGTACTTGGCAGGTTCATTGGTTGAAGCTTAAGCATATTTAGAAATAATTGAAGATGAAAAATGCAGGTTCAAAATTTAGCATGCATATGAACAACGTAATCAAAACAAGAAATAAATTTAGTACCCCGTGGAAGTTGAGGATAATCAGAGAATTTAGACATTTGAGAAGCTCTTGCAACCTCAAGCAACTTAATCAAATCCTTATTTCCACCAATACGGGCTTCATCAAGTGGAGAATTTCCCCATCTGTTCACAGGAAATAGCCCATAGAGGGAAAATCACATGGTCAAAATCGAGATTCAAGAGAAGTAAAAGTACATAATTGTGCGCTAATATATAGGACTTGGACCATATGAACTTTTCACTACATAATTGTGCATATCATGATCAACTGAAGGTACTCATGCCCTGCCACTTTTAGTTTCCTTTCTGATATCTATATTTGAAGATGACAACATAGTCATGCAACCAAAAATGACTCTTAAGAAGAATGCCTAAAGAATGATATACTATCTGTGTACAAAGCTTTCTGTAAAAATATCAAGAAGTGAATAATTCCAAAACTGAGTTTCAAGTGAGACGTGTGCCCTAAAAAGCTCATATCCTATGCATCAGGTGGTAACACAATTTAGCCTTTAGTGACTGGCCAAATTGGCCTTCAATATTTCAGATTGTACCTGTCCTTCGGAAAAACACTGGCCCCTGCTTCTAGAAGTAAACTTGCTATTGAGAGTAGACCTTCTGATGCAGCTATGTGCAAAGGTGTTCGATGATCAAAGTTCTTTGCATTTGGATTAATCCCATTGGCCAGAACCCTTTTCAAGAGATTCAAATCCCTCCCTGCAACAGTCGTACAGAGAAAACCACCAGCATCATCAATTGTCAGTGATGCCCCTGCTTTAACTAGTAAAGAAGCTACGTCATCATGCCCGCCCTTGATGGCTTCTAGTAAGGGGGTGTTCCCAAACTTATCTGATAAACAGGGGTTAAACAAAATATGCTGTTAGATTTCTTTGGAACAAGAAGATTTGATAAAAGAATGTGTACATTGTTCAGGAGGATATTTACAGTAACACACAATGTAGAATGCTTACCTGAAAGGTTGACGTCCACTCGTTGTTCAATAAGGAGTACCGTTATATCTTCATATCCTTTAGACGCAGCAATATGCTGTAGAAGGCAAGATAATATAAGATTTTCCATACAAGAATCAGTTTCATAACATCTTGCAAGCAAGAAAATGCAAGCTACAATCCATATTTTAGAGAAGCAGCTTAAATTTAGCTCTAGATTAATTACTCAAAGATATTATAATTATGCAACGGTTGAAGTTCAATACTCTCTGTATTGAAAGTCAAAGTCTTGAGGTAAGAATCCTTTATCAGGAAAAGGAGCATTTAAAAATTTAATTCTATATAAATCAAAGTTGTCTAGCACGAGATTATAGTATCTTAAGACTAGCTTGGTCAGTTGGTCCTCTAATCATACCAGAGGTGATCTTCTATCATAATCGGCCTTATTCGGATCTGCTCCAGCTCCAATCAAACGTTTCAGTCGATAATAATCTCCATCAAAAGCAGCGCAATTCAACCTCATAGCCAGCTCTGATTCAGACTTTTCGATGTAAAGGGTAACATCTGACTCCAATAATTCATTCCGTATATTGTCATCCTTTCCCTGTCAGTTGGATAAATTGTCACACAGAGTCTGCAATCTGTTCCAGTTCATAATTTCTAGCTAGAAGAATATAGTTTCAGTAATTTCAGTTCATGTTTTTCAGAAAATAGGGACCGTAATTCTACCATCAAGAACATAAAAGTTAGGCAATAACTACCAAGGGCAAACTTTTGATGTAATGAAGGTCTAAAAGAACCAGGATAAAGATGAGAAGCAATGATATCAAGCCAAACTCACCTCGAGGAGATTGTTCAATATAATTCGCCCATCAGAGAAGTATATATCAAGGATCTCTGTAAAAGATTGTTTATCAAGTCGCAGAACCCTGCAAAGTTCCCGAACTCGAATTGTATAAGGCTGAGGAGTGTTGCAAAGAAAAGAAACTTCCCCAAATGAGCTATAGGTTTGCAGACGCATGAGAAACTCTTCTGTTTCATCATTTTCTCCTCTTCCGACTTCCTCCTGCAGATAATACAGTCATGTCGACACACTGACATCATAAACAAAAAAGATATACTAAATATAGTCCTATAAACACACTCGGATAAAGGGGTGCACGCACACACTTGTATCATCAGACAATGCAGATTCTTATTCAAATGTCTACATGAATTAATATGTACTTTTCCAGCATAGCGTGTCTTTTACATCAGAAAGATATGTTGCATTGTAATGTAGCTAGTTTTCTTTACATCAGAAAGATATGTTGCAGCAGGGTTAAAACTTTAAATATTTGACTAAACTTGTTTACATTATTGTATGGGAAAATTGTACTTTTCCAGCATAGCGTGTCTTTTAAGATAATCTTCTATACTAGATTTGATAGTATGCATGACATGTGCCGCCATCCAAAATAGAAATAATGTAGGATTATTAACTCCATAAACACAAATCAACACTGATCTGTCTGTCATTGAATGTGTGTTTGTGCATATGCATGTTTGAGAGATTCCCAAATCCAAATTTCAGATTAGGATTTTTTGACTAAGTTGGGGCAATCAAATTCAGAACTGAAGGTATCATGGCCAGTCATATGATGCGATAACATTTCCTAGGTTTTATTCAGTTATAGGAAGACAAAGATTAGTCCCGAATGAAGCCAGATTAAATGGCTCATATCAAAACATAACAGCAATGTAATATAGGTGAATGCAGAAGCATATGCTACATTTGTGATGTTTTGGAATGTGCAACTCAAGTAGAAAGACAGATGAAAGATGAAATGTTACCAATTCACCATGACAGACAACATAAAGCTGATCTGCTACATGTCCCTGCTCTATAATTACTTCTCCAGGAAGGAAAAATTCTTCATGGACTCGAATCGCCTGGAAAACATGAAGAATGAATACAACTCTTCCCACAATTACAATGAATCCATGCTTTTAATGTGATAGAATGAATTCTATTCATGTATTCAAAAGGCTTTAATTTAATGAAAAAAAGCTTACTATCTGCTTAATGAATCCCAAAGAGCAACCCTTGAAAAGAGGAACTTGTTTAATATATGGTTCGTATAATTTCAGTGAGATCTGCAAATAAGAAAAAAACTTGCTGTAAAATACATGAATAAAAAACAACATCTTGCATTACTAAAGCAGGAAATCTTCACGAATACAGGAATAAAATCTATCTACAACTAGCTAGATAGGAAAAAAATTACTCGAGTCCGGTAGATGCAGTGCATAAATCCTACCATCTACAATGCTACTGTGATAGTCCAATATAGAACACTCAACACATTAAATATACAAGTTATAGTGAAAATTCTGGTAGAGAAAGGAACAGAGGATGGGTTAGCAAGGAATATTTGGAAGGCGCATGCCATATAACCATAAATCATTTTTCCATTAGAGTTAAAATAATATATAAAAAGTTTTGACTTTCTTGATGTACATGATACGTATACAAAAAAATGCATGCGCAGGATAGGTCTAGTTAGATACAAAGTTCTGATATGCCAAACAAGACAACAACAGATATTACATGGAGACATTCTTCTGGATCTGATACGCTAGTAATGAGACAGGTGCAACTAAAAGCAAGCAGGACAGGACGCAGTGGATGCAAGTATAGCACTACATCAATGATCTTCTATCTGATTAAAAATTGAGGCCTGTTTAGCATCAACAATACCTTAGTACGGATAGAAGCTGGGATTTCCTGCAGAACAGCAGCTTCAGTGTAGCTGCGATCATATTGCAATCTCAGATGGCCTTTGATCTCATTACTTAAGCTCTTGCCGAGATTATTTCTGTTCATGTATTTGATGAGATCAGTCATTCTGTCCCTAAACTTTTCTGTCTTCGATCCTTTTACTATCAATGCAGTCATGTTACCAAGCAGATAAGCACCAAGAATCATGTCAAAAGATACATAAATCATGACAAATATCATTTCCCTGATATTTACTGCATGTATCTCTCCATAACCTGCAGAAGAAAGCATTTAATCATTAATAAACCAACCCAACCTAGCTGAAGTAACCCATTACCAAAGTTAAGAATACCACAACCTCATACAATGAGTAGAAACCATCATTATCACATCAGAAATAACATATGATCAACAATAATGAAACAAGGCTTTCTAGCACTGAACAGGCATTTCCGCCATTGCCATCAAACTTCATAATTTTGAGCATCCAAAGAAAAGATGGAAAAGATCATGAAAATATTTTAGAATCGGAAAACCAAAGCATATTTCTCAGAATTTCTTGACAAAAAGTAAACCATGTCAGATTCATCGATTAGAAACAAGGTATGGGAAATATCAATAAAAGAAAATAGTTCGTGGGCTCTCTTTTATTTGTTCAAACAATGCTATGAAAAGCAATCACAGTTTGACAGTGATCATTTCAAGTTCAGTTAGTCACTATAAAAAAAAAAGAGAAGTTTACCTACAGTTGCCATAGTAACAATGGCAAAATAGAGTGATGTCACGTATCGCTTCCAAAGATCAATCTCTCTGAAGTGTGTATAGTGATAGTCACCCATCTGTAAACTTCCTATCCAGGTGTAACCTTCATGGGAGGGAGGCATAGTAGTAGCAAGAAAATAAAAAATGCAGGCAGCAGTATGTGTACAATAGAGTTCAACCACAAGAAGTTTCACTATTCTTGTGAAAAGGTAATTGATCCTCATATCTTTCTCCAACCTCTCAAAAAACTCTGTCACTCTTTTTGCCCGACTTAGCCTAATCCACAACATGTATCTCACTGCCTCTTTTCTCCCAGAAGCCTGATTAAAGCAGACAGTTCCATATCAGGACCAAAAGAAAGAGACTAAGAGCTTCTCGGTTCATACTCAAAATAAATTAAACAATTATGAACGAAGCAAAGGTGACAATAAGAAAATGGTTTCAGGCACCTAGAATGATACCTTGAAGATGGCATCCCAAGGAAGACAACCAAGAAAATCAACCAAGAACCGAGATTTCAAGTACCTAAACAAAAATTTCATAAAAAAACATAATAACAAATCATCAGTGCATGGAACAAAGTCAAGAATATGAAAACATGAGATGGGGCAAAAGGTACGAACCTAATAGCAATGAGCTTGTGACAGTAGACCAAGCGATAAGAGTGAGTGTCACGATAGGCCACAAAGAAATGGACTACCATGTCTATCAGGAAAGCAATCTGACCAGCAATGTCTAGCAAGAAAAGGTTCTCTGGGAGTCCTCTGAAGAAACCAAACTCCAATGGTGTAAAGAAGGAAGAGTAGACTGCCCATATTAGTATGAAATGCACCCATACTGTGTACCACCTGCCCATATTATTTGCATGTTTTCATTAAAAATAAAAGATTTAACTTCATCGAAAATTTATTTTAGTAGGGTTCTATTTCATCAAATTTAAAAAGTTTAGGAACCAAAGCTACTTTATTCCATTAGATTGGGACTTGGGTAACATTGCCACACGAAAGGGATAGTTTAAATATAGGGATGTAATTGATTCAATCGAAACTTTTTAGAGAAATAATTACTTTCCCTAGACCTCAAGGACTATATTGAACTTAACCCAAAACCATAGATTTGCTTTTTTATCTATAAAAATCTAAAGCCACAAATATTATCAATTGTACGGCCCAACCCAGAAGACGAGAGACCTCTAACTCATCAAGAAAATAGCTTTTCGGGAATGCTTTATGCTTACCAGTTGTCAGGACGGATAATGTAACGATGAGAAGGTGAAGAGTGCCCTAAGCTGTTTCCATCTCTGAAAACGATTTCACTTCCACTGTGTGAATCCATTCTTCTAAGCAGCCCAAATAGCCTCTTCCATGATGGTTTGCTTTCCTCTCTAAGTTTCTGATCCTCCAACTCTTCCTCCTCTGACTGCTCATGATCACCTCCATGACCACCGCCTCTTGCCCTTTCTCTTCCCTGCATCATCATCACCTGCACGAAAATGAAAGAAGAACAGATTTTTGAATGTGTGTAATAGAGAATGGTAGCCTTCACAGAAAAGACAAAGCAAATCTTTCATGAAATATAAAAGTGTGTGGGGTGCCAAAAGAATTTGTTACTGGTGACTTTTGACAATGGTGAGGAGATTTATGCTTTGTTTAATATTCCCTTAAACTTTCTCTGCGTCCGGATCATATCATGTTCGGAGTTGGGACATTTGTGGTGGCATAGAGAATCGCAATACTTCAATAGTTCAGAGAAACTAACGGTAGTGAGTAATCAATGAGTGGCAGCAAGAGATGATAAGTACCCACATGAATTACGTGCCTCAATCATTGGAAAAAACTTGGGTAATCAACCAAAGCTTGCCACCTCTGCCTATACATGACGATCCCTCATGATTTTATTCATACATCGTATATTTATTATTGCTTTGCTATGAACTAAAGTTTCCAGAATGTACTTGCCTTAATTTGTAGAAATTAATGTAGATATGTTCCATATTTTAATGACCATTCAGATAATTCATAGAAATTAATGTAGATATGTTCCATATTTTAATGACTCATTCAGAATCAGTACCACGATCTTCTTAGTCGGTTAATGAATAAGAATTAAAAGGACAACCCTTTTATAAAGGTTTTGGGCGGTAGAATCCTTGAAAGGTCTATGGTGAGTCATAATATATTGGGTCAAATATGCTACGATAATTGTATAGGCTCGTTACGATTTTAATAAATTTAATTTTCTATAATATAAATAGTGATATTATTTTTTGTATTTAGAATTTTTCAATTAAAATCTAATAAGAATTATTAGTGAAATAGTGAAATAAACATAATTATTAAATCACATAAATTTTTATAAGGGATTGTTTTTGTTTTTCTATTTTATTTTATTACTTAATTTATTTTCTAACAACTTAATGATTTCGAAGATATAAAGAAAAAATTATTAGGAATCTTTTTGTATTGATGTATATAGCTTGTTTTTAATTGAAATATAACGATGAATTTAATTTTAATGTGTAAAAACTAGCTTAGAAATATCTATGAAAAAAATAGATCTATTCTAAGGAGGTGGTACGCTAAATCTAAAGTTATTACACAGTTACCGTATAATTGGTCGCATCGCCTCAAACAATTAAATCGAGTTGCTGTTCAACAGCGTTAAAGAATTTTTATTATTATTTTTGCATCATTTTTTAAGCTAGTTAAAACCGTGGAAACGACAAAGGATTTTAGTGTAAGTGAATTACGGTGATAATAAAGGTATCTCCTCCTAATACCAAAAATACTAAAAGTATAATTGTACGATTGAAGATTGAAAAAATAAAAAAAATCCACAAGTAATAATGTTTCATAAGGATTAGGAAGATAACTTATTTAAGCATCAATAAAGAAAATGGATGGGACGTCACTTTAACTGGAGGTCTCTATAAGTCTAATTAATGTTTAACTTTTAAGATTTTGCTGATCTTGTTGCAGAAAAAAGATTACTGGTATTTATTCGCTTCAATCAAGGGAAAACTAAAGAAGGAAGAGTAGACTGCCCATATTAGTATGAAATGCACCCATACAGTGTACCACCTGCCCATATTATTTGCATGTTTTCATTAAAAATAAAAGATTTAACTTCATCGAAAAATTTATTTTAGTAGGGTTCTCTTTCATCAAATTTAAAAAGTTTAGGAACCAAAGCTACTTTATTCCATTAGGTTGGGACTAGGGTAACATTGCCACGCGAAAGGGATAGTTTAAATATAGGGATGTAATTGATTCAATCGAAAATTTTTAGAGAAAATATTACTTTCCCTAGACCTCAAGGACTATATTGAGCTTAACCCAAAACCATAGATTTGCTTTTTTATCTATAAAAATCTAAAGCCACAAATATAATCAATTGTATGGCCCAACCCAGAGGAGGAGAGACCTCTAACTCATCAAGAAAATAGCTTTTAGGAAATGCTTTATGCTTACCAGTTGTCAGGACGGATAATGTAACGATGAGTTTTCCCCTTCTTAAATATTACTGGTATTTATTCGCTTCAATCAAGGGAAAACTAAAGATGAGTTTTCCCCTTCTTTTGAGAGTAAATTAAAAATTAATCTTTTTATTTTTGAAAAAAAAATTAATTAGTCTTTTTTTAAAAAAAAAAAGTAATTGTTTAATCTTTTTCATTTATTTTATATTTTTTCAATTTATTTTTATTTTAAAAAAATAATAAATAAATAAATTGATATTACAAAAAAAATTATGAGCAAAAAAAACATTTTTAAAATAAAATAATATTAAATTAATTTTGGTTAACATTAGTTAAAAACAAGAAAAACTAATTAATTTATTTTCAATACTAAAGAAACTAAAATATAATTTATTTTCTAATGCATTTATCTCTATTTGAAAGTATTTTTCAAACTATATTAAGCTGATTTTATGTTTTTAAAAAATATTTTTAAATAATTTAGATATACTGAGATTAAAAACATCCGAAAAAATACTTAAAAATCATTAAAAAAATTGACATATTTGTACTCCAAACATATTTTTATAAAAACACTTATATCGTATTACATATTTAACATGTTCATCACTCAATATATAATCACATGTTCATCACTCAATATATAATCAAAATGATTTGAAATTCCATATTATGTTTTGGTGCTAAAAAAAGGTAGATAAATTATTTGAAACTTTTCGAGGAGAAATTTTACAATACATAAGGAATAACTAGTGACATATACGGTAGTTATTTCATAAACAGAAGAGAGAGATAAACATAAAAAATGGAATGAGAAAAAAAATGAGTGAACGTAAAAATCTTCTTATCACTTTTGGTGGATTCGAATATAATTCAATGTGTCTATTTCTCTCCTCAAAGTGTATCTATAAAGTAAATACTGTATATATCATTAATTATTCATTGTGTATTATAAAATTTCTCATTTTAACGATATCCATTTAAAAAAGAAAAAAATTATTATGAAAGAAAGTTTTGAATTTGAAACTTCTTGAAAGACGTTAATGCCCGATGGGCTCGTTGGGAAGACTGATCTTTCTTGACAGAAACATTATGCTTTATTGGGCTTTAACAATTGAGTCATACTTGGACTATCACATAAAATCTGATTGGGCTAATTCATTTAAAGCCCAACCACTACGCACCCTGCCATCCTTGAAACCCTAAAAAATTGAAAAGCCTTTTTCTTCTTTCCTCTTAGCCGACGAACAACTAATTTTTGGGATGAGAATCATCCTGCTCGTCAATTTTTAATTATGATATAAATCAAATTTTATGTCAAAAAAAATTGGGATACAGTAGTTCTTTTATTTAATTTCGTTATCTAATTGATTTGTTAATTCACTAATGTCTGTCTAATTAGATGTTGAAACGGTTCGATCCATATTTGAAAATATAATTTTTAAAACGAATCTTAAAATAAAATAAAATAAAATAACTAAATAATAATTATTTAAAAATGGAAAAAAAATAATAAAGAGAAAAAAATCACAATATTCAAAGCAGTCGCTAATTTTTGCAAAATATTTAGTGTTTCATTAACATTTTGCTATATATTTGTTTCAATCTGAATCTTCTTAGACTTCTTGAACGAATTTTATGATGTCTTTGCTTGAAGTGATCACGAAGGGTGTGACAAACCTGAACACTTTATCCCGTCTGGATACTCAATAATTCTAAACTCAGATGATGTTTTCTTCAGTTCGAAGCCAAAGCAAACCCTGCCACATTGCTTGCTAATCCTTTTACTGTGTAGCAACTCACGCAATCTGGTTCTAGAAATTATTGAGTTTGGTAAAAGATTATATATTAAGCTAAAGAGAAAGCTTAAGAACAGTAATAATTTTAATGAGGATGAGTTCATTGGAATTTGAATCAGTTTCTTGAGAAAATTAGAGAAGGTCGGTATTTCGATCGGAGTTGATTCACTGGATAAAGGGTATACTGGGGGATTGCTTGAGAAGATGGGATTTTTTATGGGCCGGGATGTGGGGATTTGGTGGAGACTTTTCTTGTTACTACTTACTGGGATTCTCAACCATGCATTGTATTCGAATTGATCACGAGTCTTTTGTTGAAATAGAGGTCTGATTTGCTTTGTATTTGCATTACACGTGCTTCAGATTTTGGATTGCCCAAGTTGGTTTGCATTTTGAAATATTTTCTTTATCCATCGAAAGAAGCTTGTAATAATATGCTTAGTGCGAGGAAGGAATTGGAGAGAGCCAAGCAAAATTGCTAGCTATTGAGAAGACAAGTGATAAAAACCTCTCAGACAAGAAATTGCAAGTGGCTAAGGACGCTACAATTTTGCTTATGCATGCGTATGATGGCTTCTCAACATCTGAGCTTTGTTTGCATTAAAAAAATGGCATCACTGAATGTTGATAAAGTGATAATTTCATCTGCAATTATTGAACTGAATGGTAAGGAGATGGTGAGTTTGATTAGGTATTTGGGGAAATGGATCAGGAAGTATGATATGTTTAGTTACTCAGGCAGGTCCATGTCCAAAGGCTTCATCTTTGTTGGGTTTGCAGGATTGCATTTGGATTCCTAAACTTGAAGATCTGGTCAGATATCTTGGGTCAGTTCTGGATGGAAACTTCTCTTCGTTGATGCTGCATCTGAAGTTTCATGAAGAGCTGAAATGTATTGAAGCATTGATTGGTTCTCTAGCCTCAGAAGTGAAATTCACTTGCTCTGTCGCAAATGTCATTCAGACTTCGAGAGTAAATGCTAGAACATAGCAGGATTAGGATCCTTTCTTTGGTCATTTATTATGCTGCAGTGGAAAACTCATTCCCAATCAGCAATCAAAATTGTAGTTTTAAATTCGCTTTGGATTGAAGTGGGGATAATGCTAGCGTCTCTCTTGTAATTTTTACAATTTATGTGAAGATGAACCACCCTGGATACAAGAGGTGATAAAGCTCTTTTTTTAATGTTAATTTACATGTTATGTTTTGAGGCAGTTGAGTTTTTGTTTTGTTGATAGGATTCCATACAACTAAAAATCAATATTGGCATCACTTTCGATTTGTTGAACTTTGGTCTTTCGATTTGAAAACTAATCGTAGCAGAGGATATAGAACTTTTCAAGTTCAACCTGCCTTCGAAGTTCATGGTATTGTCCAAGAACCACTCCTGTGATTATATCATGGTTTCTGATCACTAGGATTATTATTTGCAGTTTCACTTTTATAATTTCCATGTACCTCTCTGTATATTTAACCATTTCTCAACTACTCCGTCAGTTTTTTTCTATGTATTAGTTGGGATTAGTTAGTTTAGCTTGAAGATTATTTTTGTCAGAAGGAAGTCTTTTGAGTTCTTTATTTGTCAGGGATTGCTTTCAAGGCTTTTCTTCTCATTGTCTTCTTATTGTTATTCACATTTTGGCTCATAAACTCAGGTTCTAATAAGACTTTGATTGATATTTTGTCCATCTTGTTTATATACCAAGGCTGCATTTGGCTATCTCTTGTTAATATTCTATGCAAAATGATTGTCGAAGATGGCATATTATTAACGCGATAGACGCAGCGCTGAAGTTTGAGAATTGAATTGCTGAATTGGATAGATTGATTGTTTCTGCAGATTGCAGCTTCTGTTAGAGATCAGCCTATGTAATCACTTTCGGATCATTTACTATATTTTCTGAATGCTTGCTTAGTTGTTTCGGAAATATCTGTCTTTTTCAACTCTTGCAGCTCCTTAGGTTTTTTGTTGGTGAGAGATTGAGTTGCTGCAGTTTGAATGTCTTCTGAGCTCTTTGAACAGAGTTTCTTTTGTTTGTTTAGGATGGTGGATTCCCTCCCTCTCTTTTTGGCCCCTTAAATGATTTCTATCGGGATTTTCCTCCCATTTCTTCTTGATTTGAATGGTCGAACATTTATTCAAACGACTTTTCTTGAATTGAACATATATTCAAGTGTACATTATTTCTTCTCAGTATGCGAGTCTTAACTATTAATGTTTTTGTTTTTGCCACTCTTGTTGTCAGCTTGTGAGCTATGGAGCCAGAAAGATTTGACATAGCTACAGTTTTCTTACGGAGAATATTATCGATCTAAGGAAGAAGATTGGCATGGAGTTATAGTAGACCACAAGGTTAGCACAAGTGATTAAGACTTGGTTTGGGATATGGGTGGGTGGGGGGGTCAGGATTCAACTTTTATCCTTAGATAGCTTGCAAGATTTACTCTTGTGCTGTCTTCTTGAAAAGCAAGGTGGGCACGCATGGACCCAGAAGGCAAGAAGCATGGCCTACTGCTGGAAGAAACAAAGAAATGTAGCACGCATATTAAGGTCCCAATCTCTTCAATTCCCTCTATCCAGGAAGCAGGAAGCGTATGCCTCGCTATATCGTTCAACTTGGCAGCATTCAGCTGATCAGCTAAATAGTTACTTGTATCATATAAATTGGACCTACCATTGGAGAAACAAATTGCCAAGCTGACGTGTGAAAGCTGCTTGTATTTTGTTTTCTCTATAAATTATTTCTGCCATCGGAGGCCACTGGCCACTTGGCCTTGATCGTCTTTGTCAGATGGTTAATGTGTGGCCCCAGAAACGATGAATTCCAAATCAGGAACGGAGGTCGAAGGAACAGCTCATAGAAAGAAGAGACCTGATAAGGATGAGCACAAAACTAACAAATAAGATTTCACCTTCTTTGTTTAGAATAATCCGTTTTGCCCTCCTCGTTTTAAAAATTGATTAATTACTCAAGAGGATTAACTTAAGGTGGAAGAAGTTCTAGTTATTCAAATAAGCGGTCTCTATTTTAAATTCTTATATAAACAGAAAACTTCTTTAATAATTGTGTTTAACTATTGTATTCAATCGAACAGAAAAGTATTAGAGCATCTCCAATAATGTCTTTATATTAAGATTTTTCTTTATAATAAAGAGATTTGGTTCAAGTTCCATCTTCAATACTCTCTTCGTCACAATCTCTATCTTTAAAATTGAAATACGGAATGTCTTTGGCTCTCCAATCTATAGAGTCAAAATGACTCTTTATCTTATATTTCATTAATGAAAATTACTATTTTTTTACTCTCTATCTTATATTTCATTAATAAAAATTACTATTTCCTATGTCACTCAGCCTCTTCACCAATAGTCTCTATGGGTTTTATGAATTTTGTTAAAATAAAGAGTTAAAGTAGAGAGTAGCATCATAGAAAACATTGATTTTCAATCTATATAATTAATGATACTCTCTATTTAAATTAAAAATGCTAACTAAAAGTAAAGAGTATCATTGAAGATGCTCTTAGTATGTATTTTTGAATATAGGATGCCCTGTGGACTTTTTTTTTTTTTTTTTGTCCATTTCATGTCTTTTTTCAATTTAATTTTTTAAAAACAATAGAAAAGGTCAAAAAATAAATATATATTATGAAAAAATTGATAAGAAAATAATATGTTTTTTAAATAAATTAATATTAAATTAAGCATAATCAACCTTAGTCATATTAATTATTTGAAACTAGAAAACCTATTTGATTCAAATTTAAAAAACTAAAGGGACTATTTTATAATTTCCACCAGAATCTTCCTTGATGAGTCGTACAGAATTTTGCAATATTTTCTGTAACAGCCTCAAAAATGAAATCTGTTGTGGTACTTTAACTAATTAATCTATTTAACAATATTTAGTCCTTTTATTGAATAATATTTTCATTTTTAAATAAAAAATAGTCAATAAATTGTGGGTTTCAACTTATCTTTTTCATTGGTTAAAAAAACGTGTTTTTTCTTTCTTTTTTTTTTTTTTAACGTACTGTTTTGTCATTAAATAATGCTAATAAAACTGAAGCAACTTGAAAAATCTGTGTGGTTTTTGAGGTTTTAAAATACCAGGAAAGTTGGAGAGTCAAATTGACCCAAGACTAGAAGAAGGAAGAAGATAAAAGAAACTGAAAGAGGGGAAAATGACCTTTATTTGTCACATGATTAAAAATAGCATATGTTTTTTATCCTTTTCATTTTTCCCGTTTCGAGGAATATGCATGTGACTGAATATTCAAATATTTGGCACCGTTTTTAGAATTTTAATTTTACAACACTTTTCGCATTGGAATTTGTTTTCACGTTCCATCCTCTTCGTCCCACCAAAACCCACAAACCGATAAATATAGTAAATAAATAATGTAAGTAATTAAGGTTCCATTTGTGATGATTTATGAAAAATGATTAATTTTGAGTTGTAATTCATCAAAGGTTATTTTTTATAAATAATTTATATTATCAAAATAAGTTAAGTTATATAGAAGTATATTTGGGAAAAAAATTGAATCAAAGAAACTTCTTTTTTTTTTTTTTATGAATGAATGTAGTGTAAATTAGAATTGATAAATTAAAAGTTAAAATTTTAACTTTTAACCAAATCAAAATTTTGACTTAAGTTTGTAACAACTGATTAATTAAAATCAAATTTTATTTTTAACCAAATACATTTATGCATTTTTTAAATAAAAATCTATAAAACAACTTAAATCAATTTACGAAATAACATCAAATAGAACGTAAACTGATAGAAATTCTTTTTTTTTTTTTTAACAACATTGGATACCAAAATCTTTTGAGATACACAATTCTAGCAACAAAAGAATCACGCATCAGGCACACCCACGGTGTAAAAATAGAGTAGCTTAGTCGTTTGAGTTTATCTCTGGCAAGCTAAATGGGGCAAATTTCTCTTAAATTTTAGTTCATTTAAAAATCAATCTCTAAATTTTTAATTTTAAGTTTGACCAATTTTGCACTTTATTTGTTAGTCAAACTTATGATTTTCAGCTATTGTTTTTTCTCTAAAAATTTTCAATTTTGGTTTTTTGAACTAGCATCTTGCACACGTTTTGTAAAGTATTTTTTTCTGACTCTAGAAACATAGAGAGTAAAAAAAATAGAATATTATGCAAAATGACACTTAATTTTTTTCAAAAAAATTCAATAAATCTTATTAAATGATTTCTATCATGGAGCTTTTTATATGACTGTGTTTTTTTTTTCTCATAAAACTAAAAGATGGAATAAGTTTTTTTAAAAAAACAAAATCAAGGAACGTTAAATTTGAAATTAAGAGTTCGATCAGAAATTAATTTTTAAATAAACTACATACAGTTCAAGAAAGAATTAGTCTCGAACCAAAAGTTTAGTAAAAACCTTAAACTTTGATATAATATAAAATTTTAATTTTCTTAAAGAAACTCCAAATAAATTTTATTGAATAATTTTCATCACAATGTTATTTATAAAACCATTATTTTATACAAAAATAAAATAAATGATGTACTAAATCTCAAAAAAAAAAAAAAAAAGCTAAACTAAAAATTAAAAATTTTGAAATTGATTTTCAAATAGACAACAATTCAGAGAAGGACTAGCCGAACCAAAAGTTTAGTAAAAGCCTTAAACCTTAATACGATATAAAAGTCTTTGAGCATTATTTCAAGCTATAAGAGAAGATTATTCATCTTGAGATTTTGAGCTTGATTTTTATTATTGACTATTTAAAGATATGGTATATTTAACTTAATAGAAAGAAAATATTATTGGTCTTTGACGTTTTAGGTTTGAGTTTTGTTATTGACTTTTTAAAAAGCTGTATATTTATTTTAATAGAAGGCCTTCTTTTGCACGAGGAGTAAACAAGTGCGGAATTTCTAATTCAGGAGGAATTGAACCCGTAATTTATTTGAAACTGAAATTCGTAACTTCTTAGAAACTACCAAGAGATCACTACCGCTTGAACTAAAAGTCCGTTGATAAAATTTTTGGATTCCTCTTATTTTATGATATACGCCATTATTACTTAATTCTCTTTTCTTTTTCTAAATATCTGTTCTCAAGTGTGTTTCTTCTATTTCTTGAAGCTACAGATTGAATCAATGAAAATAGAAATTTTTTCCTCCATTGACAAAATATTCTACTCCTCCAATGAATAAAAAATTCATAGCTGTTGGACTGAATATTTGATTGTTTATATTTCCAATTGTGCGTTTTATTTGTCTGAAAATCGAATAAAGGCTACAAATTTCAAAGAGTTGTTAATTTACAAATCGAGGAAGCAGACACATCCTATTAACAGTTGTGTATTTCCATCAGCAAAATAGATTTGAGTTTTAATGATTTTGATTTATTTTATTACTATTATATAATTATATAATGAGAGGGATCTAATGTCTATTATTTAACCCAAATCCAACATGCCTCCCAATGAAAAAAAAAAAATGAAAAAAAAAAGGAACATTATAAAGGTAGAAAATCTGGTGTTTTCTATTGCTAGGACTTCAATATATATATATATATATATCTTAGTCCTTAGATATATCATACATTATTTATACTTTTCAGTTTTAGGATGAGTTGGTCATTTAATATTGTATTAGAGCTTTGATAACCAAATGGTTACGAATTCGAATCCTACCACCTTCACTTTCTCTTTTAATTAATTAAGTATAAGGTAGTGTGGGTTTGTGTAAGTTTCAAATTCAAAGTGTTTTTACTTGAGGGAGTTTACTTGGAGAATAATATAAATCACATGTTAGAGTCTCATCTAACAATTTAAGTTTTTGGGTGAGATGGTATCGAGTCTTATCCTCATTTTTTCTTCTAATTAAAAGTCTTATCCTCATGTTTTCTTCTAATAAAAAAACTTAAGCTTTAGGATGAGATAGTCTTTTAACAAAGTAAAATAATGTTTAAAAAGAAATATATATATATATATATATATATATATATATATATAATGATGTATTTCGGTAAAATGAGGACAGCTACATATTTACCTGACATGGAAAAATTCAGACACATGTCTAGATTTGGTGTGATGTAATACAAAAGTTTTAGCCAGTGCCTTTAGAACGCTTGTTAAAATTCATTTAATACTCCTAATCAATCTCTAATTTCTTTATATATATATATATATATTATAAACACTTAACAATTATTAATTTTCATTTAAATATTAGATTTTTATTTCTTATTTAAAACAATCCAACATAATAAATACATATGGACAATCCTTACCAAGTGTCATGAGATTAATTAGTGATTTAGGTTATGTAACTAAATTGTCGCATGAAAGTTTTTTTTTTTTTTTTTTTTTCAATGGGAGATCCACCAGTTTTCGGACTACATAATAGGAGTTAGGCATCTCTCGTTACATAATTATTAAAAAATTTTGAGTCTCTATCCTTAATTTAAGGCTGCTTACGTAAAATTCGTTTCCTTTCAAGAGAGGAAAAAAATAAAGATATATATGGACCAGATTAGTTTCTTTCCTTACTGTTTTATTTATTTATGAGAAATGGTATCTTTTATGCGTTAGATGTCGTTTTCTTCAATAACTTTTTAATCTAATTTCTTCATTAGCAGACTATGAGTTTTGTGAATCGAAATGACCATTTTAATAGTGGTGATAGAGGGGAATTAATAATGTATTTCCATTTCATAGATGTTCATGGAGACCATGCATGCATGTACGCCTAATTAGTGTACATCAATTTGGGCTGCTGATCACACTTTGAACTCAGCTTCTTCTAACTAGACTTGAATTAGGAAGACAGAGGGAAGCATCACCACCATAGAAAATAAGCTGAAAACAAACAAAAATAATTCTTAATTACTTTCTATTTACATTAATACAAAATCTTTCCTAGTGAACAAGTGACGCAGAATTGCATCACCATTGATTATGGTTTATTTTAAATCACATAAGTTCTCAGCCATGAAAGATACGTAAAAGCGGCTAGGTTCAAGTAACTCTCTGTGGGTGTCTCTATAGCCGCCTTTGTCAGCATCCGCCGTGCTGAGTGCAGCAGCTTCTTGTTCTCTTCCCATGCCAAAATCAGTCGGCAGTTCTTTGTTAATGCTCGATTGAGTAACTCAATCTAACTAAATTATTAATTAAGATTTAATTTAATACACTATTAATCAAATTTATTTCCATAGATTCCTCTGGTGTGAGTCACAGCAATATTATATTGATGAACCGTTACTGAAAATATATTCAACAGCTCCATTTAGAAGATTTAATGTAGGTATCTAAATCGAATTGATTTTTATAATAAGAAAATTATTAATTAATGAAGCAAGTAGCTAGATGAATCTTCTTGATCCCATGTTTGCATAACGAGAAAAGTATTCGAGCAAACCTCAAATTAATCCTCCAACTATCAACCAATGCTCGATTGGATTTTCAAATTAAAATCTTCCATAATCGAGTATCAAAGTGTTAGAGGCTCCTCAGTCCCAATCTAATTTTTGTGAAAAATAATTGACAATGGTACATTGACATCAGGGACATAATTGGCAAAAGTTTAGTTTTGGAACTACAATGAGAATCAGTTTAGGGTTTCAGATTAATTTGAAATTTGCCAAAATTAATCATTTCCATTGAAAACTGCGTTCTACCGGTTACCACTGGAAAGATATTTTAAGTGACTGAAACAAAGTGTTGGTTAGGGTAGGGGTACCCTTATTAATGGCTAGTCTATTCACTTGGTTGGCTGAGTTGCCACTATGTTCAACCTAATCCGTTATTCGTGGCATTAATTTCCCATTTGCCCACTTGGTGCCGGCCTCCACAAAATTAAGAGAATATTCATCCCATCTTTAACGAATAAATTATAAATTAGTCCTTTTTTAAAAAAATAAACCAATTAGTCCCTTTTTTATAAAAATTAATTATTTAGTCTTTTGTTATTTTTATATTCTTTTCCATTTCTTTTTACAAAAAGTATAAAAATAATATATATTATGAAAATATTGATGATGTTTTTCAAAATATTAAATTAAACATGATAAACACAAGTCAAGAAACTGAATAATTAGTTTTTAAAATAAGCAATAGTTTTTAAACTTGAAACTAGAGGGACTAATTTATAATTTATTTCAACTTTAACTAATCTATGCCAATAGGTCCTACCTTGACTTAATTGGGTCCAATTGGACTATTAAATTTGTTATTATAATAATTACATAAGCAGTAGCCCTTAATCATTTGCAAGGAATTTGGTGAGATGTCTTTGGCTTAATGTTGATTCCATTCTTTCAAACTTTCGCACAACGGATTAAACCTAATTTTGAAATTTAAACGGAAGAGCTAACTAGGTATCTTATAATAGAAAAATGAGGGAAAGATGAACACCATGCATGGCTGCTTTTATCTTGCTTTGTATTTGGATAAACTTTCATCGATCTAATCCTGAAAGAATCAGCTGGGCGTCGGCAGGAAATGGATGTGGATAACATTTGTACTATGCATGAACTATTAATTTATGCACAACATGGTCATTTTGGGTGGGCGTGAATAGCATTTGTAATGTGTATTATACAATTGAAAAAGAGAAAGAAAAAAGAATTAAAAAAACAAACACTCCACTCCAAATTAATGTTAGGCATTAATATTCCCTTAAAATATGTTAAGTACCGTTTGATTTATGCAGTTTCGTTATGTTGTATTACGTGCAAAGTATTTAAAATTCAAATATCTATAAATGTACATAAATTACATAATATAATTAGTATATTTAGATTGCTATTTACAAATTAATTTATATGAAATTATTAATGCATGAATGCATTAAATAATAATAAATAATTGATAATAATTCACTAACAAATAATAAATATTTTATCTATCTCAAAGAGATTTTTTTTCCAATTTTTTATATATATTAAGAAAATTATTAACTGTTATCACATATTAACATCTTTTATATATATATATATATATATATTTTTTTGATCAAATAAATATTTTGAGATAAATATAAATAAAAAAAGAATTTTTTAAAACAAAAATAATAACAAATTTCTAAGAATGTAACAAATGTACATGATGACAACCTATACAAAAGAATACATCACGTTATAAAATGGATGGTAAACTAATAGTAGATTAAAATTAAAATCACATTAGCCCTTTTTTAAACCATCGACACAATCAATTGCTGGCAGCTGTTTTAGATAATAATAATAATAATAATAATATCAAGAACAACAAAGGAAAAGACAATAAGATGGCTGGCTACTTTTAAATGCTCACATGTAGATAAGCAAATGTATATAGTCCACTAAAAGTAGCGATCATTACCCTTCCCTTCTCTCCACGGGAAACAAAACTCTTTTCAATTTTTCTACCCCACCACTTCCTTCCTTCCACCATCCTTCCAAAAACAATCATCCACGTGCTTTCTTCTTTCCACTTATATAACCATCCCCACTTCCTCATTTCCTGTGAACCACTCGAATTTTTCTTTTCGCATTCCCTTCTCATCTTATGGCCCTTGTCCGTGAACGCCGACAGGTTAACCTCCGTCTCCCCGAACTCTCCGACCGCCGCCCCCGCTTCCCTTTACCACTCCCCCCACTTCCACCGCCACAACCAACAACAACAACAGCATCTCCACCATATCTTGCAACGATATTGAGAAGATACATGTCCTAGGCCATGGTAATGGTGGCACGGTCTACAAAGTTCGTAACAAAAGAAATTCACAAATTTATGCACTTAAGGTTGTACGTGGAGATAGTGACCCACTAGTCCGTCGCCAAATTTACAGAGAAATTGAGATTTTCCGCCGTACAGATTCTCCCTATATTGTTCAGTGCCATGGAAGTTACGAAAAGCCATCTGGGGACATAGTAATTATGATGGAATACATGGAATTAGGCACACTTGATTCACTTCTGCAAAAATATGGTACTTTCGATGAGTCCAAGCTGTCACATGTGGCACATCAGGTTCTGAATGGTCTTAGTTACTTACATGGACAGAAAATTATTCACAGAGACATCAAGCCTTCAAATTTGTTGGTTAACAAGGATATGGAGGTGAAGATTGCTGATTTTGGAGTTAGTAAAATCATGTGTCGTACGTTAGATGCTTGCAATTCCTATGTTGGTACTTGTGCTTACATGAGTCCTGAAAGGTTTGATCCTGATACCTATGGTGGGAACTATGATGGTTATGCTGGTGATATTTGGAGCTTGGGGCTTACTCTATTGGAGCTTTATTTGGGTCATTTTCCGTTTCTTCCACCGGGTCAGAGACCCGATTGGGCTACTCTTATGTGTGCTATTTGTTTCGGGGATCCGCCGAGCTTGCCGGAGGGAGCATCGGAGGAGTTTCGGGACTTTATTCAGTGTTGTTTGCAGAAGGAGTCTAGTAAGAGGTGGACAACATCCCAGCTATTGTCTCACCCTTTTGTATGTAAAGATCCAAGATCCGATTTAGTGAACTTATGATTTGACCCAAATACCCAGTTAAATTTGTGGGTTGGGAACATAACTTTGAGTCTTGTACATAGACTTCCGGAATCTGGATTTGGAATTTTCTTTCGTACATTCTCTTAATCTGAATCTTCTGTAGCTTTTGTTCCGTCAAGCAGAAAATCTGCTCTTGAAATGAGAATTAAAAAGAAAATTCTTCAATCTTTCAACTTTTAGATCCTTTATATATATTAGTACTGTTTTTTTTTTTTTTTTTTTCTTGAAAACTCATGGTAGCCAATGCTCTCTAGACCTAGCTAGTAATGACCCAGAACCTGGTTTCTATGCATGGTTGCATCCGTGCAAACTGATTTCAGTCCCTTATCTTCTCCAATATGATCAAAGGCGATTGTTCCTGCCAAATTGACTTCTTCTTCTTCTTTTCAACAATAATCTCCTTGGAGGTAAATCTCTTCCAATCCATAGATGTCATGTGACTAAGACAATATGTGTTTTTTTAAAAAATAAATTAACACCATTATACACCAAAAGGGAAGGGAGTAGAGAAGAAAAAAATAAATTAAATAAGCGAGAAAAAACTTAATTGTCCTGTTTTTTTGAAAAGAACTCATTGAAAACACAACCAAGCATCGATGCTGACACATGACAGCATCATCATATGATACCCTACAGAGCAAAAAGAAATTTACTCCAATCATAAAATTATTGTCTTGTTTTTTTTCCATCTAAAACTCAAAATTTTTATAATTCTTGCAACCACTACAATGACGGGGACTCTTTCTTGTAATCCCAACCCCAATCTCTTTCCCTTTCAATGTCGTAAAGGACAGGATGCATGAAAGTCACTCTCTTAAACGACAGGATTAACCCGGGACATATTCCTTTTTCTTGTCTTAGAAAAGTAAAAGGAGTGCATAAATATGTATAGACTTTACTTTATTTTTACTTTAATTTATGACAAAAGTTAATGAATTCTTTCAAGTTACTAGCTAAATATTAACCAGTTACATTATTTTATTCCATTGATTGTTAGATTGCAATAAAAAAAAAAGAATAACAATCAAATATTTTGATGAGAATTTTGTAAATAAAAAAAGAAGAAGAAGAAAAATGGGCCTTAATTTGGAGTGATTCTTTAATAAACGTGGTAGAAAAAAAAATCCGTTTCTAGCCCTTAAAGGATATTGTGCTGGAATTTTGTGCACAATTATTACTCCTTCTATCTTCTAATTGCTATGTAACACGTGGTCACGTTTATTTTGGGCTAGCAGAAGCAGCTACCTTTTAGATCATCACACAGACTCTTAGACTGGTTACGTGTGTGGGACAGTCTCCAGTCTCCACTTTGTGGCTAAAAGCGTGCAAGAGAGTTAAAGAACACTGATCTCTACCGCTCTGGCCCCAAACATTTTTAGTCCAGTAAAAACGTGCAACTATCTCATAAAATATTGGGGTTGCAAGTCTATCGAAATTTGGAGACTTTTTATTATTATATATATATATATATTATGAATAATCTGTTGAAGATTTGTCCGTTAGGAATTCTTTTATCAGAGTAATTTTTATTAAAAAAAAAAAAGCATATTTTTGGCTGGTTTCTTGGTACTTTGTAGATTCCCCAAGCAAGTTGCACGATTTTCACATCACATGATCACAAGCTTCTTTTCTCATTTTTGCTTAGGTTATAAATACCATATTATTACATAATTAGCGACAAAGAGATACATCATCGTATGCGTAAGATACAGTGGTTTTATTTTTTCCCCCCTTTTCATTAATTCAATTTGAAAGGCTAATTGGATTTGGAACTAGAGAACAATTCTACCCTGTTTCATTGAGTCTTCGTATATTCTAAAATAGAATTTATACTTTTTACCTTTGAATTTTAAATCCATGGTTCACAAAAAACATTTATTGGATTAATAGCATGATTAATCCTTATATTTTTTTAGATTTTTTTAATGTAACTATGCTATTTTTAATTTTATTTATCACGTTCTTGTATTCTGAATATTTTTGTTAACAAAGCTATTCTAATAAGATTTTAATCAATTTTTTTTAACATCAAATGACGTGACATGTCAGATAGAAATGATATGTGTGACACATTATATAAAATTCACATGGAAAGAAATAGAAAAACATGAAGAAAATTGAAAAATCAATAACAATTTATAAAATGAAATTGAAAAAAAAAAGATTTTCAATTTAAAGAGTATAATATATAAAAAGAATGAGAAAATGTAATGAATTTTCAGAAAAAAAAAATCATGAACACATAGTTTCAAATAAAAATAAATGTAAAAAATTAAAATTATATATATATCATGTTACAATCTCAAGTGTCAATTGTTACAATCCCAGGTGTTATTTCTCCTTTCCCATAAATTCTCTCTTAGACTAATTCTTTTTGTTCAATAGTTGAAAGTTAATATTTCGACTCAACTCTAATATGCAAGAGTTTGTTCCTATTTTAATTCCTTAGGAATAGTTCAAGTCATTAGTTTGTTTTTCTTGTTTTATTTTCCATCTTTCCATTGTAATGAAGTTTATTCCTACTTTAATTCCTTAGGAATAGTTCAAGTCATTAGTTTGTTTTTCTTGTTTTATTTTCCATCTTCCCATTGTAATGAAGCCTATATAAAGGTTGTGTTGGTGCAAATAAAGATCATTATTCAATTATCTTCAACATTTGCTTTTGCAGAGTAGTGCATCTTATCTCTGTTTTATCCTTTCAAAATAGCTCGTGGAAGGCAATGAGTGCGAGGTCGAAGCATAGGCCGTGTAGGACGATCGAGAACATAACAATTTGATATCAAAGCCCGACATGGATGAAGAACATATCGACCGCAGTTTTCTTCGACTTGAGAATCAAATTGAAAGCATGAGTAGATATATGATGGAAATGCATCAAGCGTTTCAAACCGGGAAGGAATCATACACCTTCCGACCTCACCGGATTCACGAAGCTCTAGGGTGGAAGGTTCATGCGGGGGGCATTGCTCCCAAATTAGTTAAAGTTGATTTCTATGATTTAATGGTGTAGACGACCCTACAATCTGGATAAATGAAGAAGAACAATATTTTAACTTCCAGAGCATGCCCTTCGATGAGTAGGTCTAATTGGTAATCTTTTATCTAGAAAGAGATGCTCATTTATTGGCATAAAGATAGAAGGGTTTGCATCCCGACTTGATAAGGCAAGCAATGGAAGACAAGCTAGTGAAAAGGCTTGGCACGTCAACTTTTGAGAACTCATTTGTTGATTTTACAAGCTCAAATCAATAGGCACCATTTAAGAGTACCGGGCATAGTTTGATAGATTATTGATCGGAAAAAGAGCATTGTTAGATGAACAAGTGGTAGGAACATTCATTAGTGGCCTTAAAGACCAACTTAGAGCCGATGTGCAAGCCTAATGACCTCTTTCCCTAAACAATGCAATTTAGCTGGCTAGTGGTGTTTAAAAGTATACATGCCCAAGCTTAAGCTCATGGTCTAGCCTAATGTTGCAAAGGCCTTTTGACCCTAACGAGAAAAGAGTCTCTAGTATGGAATAAAAAAGGTTTTTTTTGCATCTCCACCCATGCCAAATTCATCAAACACCATTCACTATTTCACGCCAATAAATTTTAGCAAAGATGTTATCAAGGTCTCCTATTTCCACTATGATAAACTCTACACGACAACACATAAGTGTAAAAAGCTCTTCTTTATTGAGTCGAAGTAAGTGGCCTAAGAAGACAGGGAGCTCAACTTGGCGGAATCCTCTACCCGAGAACATGAGCCTTCAAAAATTTCACTTCACGCCCTCACGGGAGTAATTACACCTCAAACAATGTGCGTTCAAGCTAGGGTAGTAGGAGTCACCATCGCGGTCCTCATTGATTCAATCTTTACACATAATTTCTTGCATGAGCGAGTGGCACGAGTAACTAGACTTTAAATTAAAGAAGGTCCTTCCATGAAAGTAATGGTTGCCAGCGAGGATAAGCTTAATTATAAAGGTTTATATAGGCAAGTCAATTTGGTCTTTCTTATTGCTTAATTTAAAATTGACCTTTTGTTATTGTTATCGAAAGTTGTGATGCACTACCCGGTACTTAATGGCTTAAAACCTTGAGTCTTATCCTTTGATATTTTGGACAAATGACCATAAAATTTAAAGCTAGAACCGGAGGTATCACATTACGAGGTCTACAACCTCTAAAAACGAACCGGTCTTTAAAAAGACCTTAAATCATACATTAAAGAAATCACAAAGAGGGGGTTTTGTTATAAATCTCTCCGATGTCAAGCCAAGGAACCTACGAAACTAAGGAATGGAAAAGTATTTAGCAATAGTTCCTTGAGTTTTTTTTTTTTTTTTTTTACAAACTTTACAATTTACCTCCTCACCGAGCACGTGATCATCGAATCCCACTTCAAAAGGGAGTCACTCGGTTAGTGTTTCGCCATTCAAATATGCTCATTTCTAGAAGTAAAAAACAAAGAATTTAGGCTCTAAAATGTTAACACATGGACTTATTCGACCAACGAATAGCCCTTTCTCCTCCCAAGTATTCGGTAAAAAAGATCAATGGTTCATGACAATTTTATGTGGATTATCGAGCTCTCAATCAACTCACTATAAAGGAAAGTTCCATATCCTTGTGATTGAATAACTACTAGATGAAGTAAAAAGAGCAACATGGTTTACCAAACTGGACCTATGCTCTAGTTATCATCAAATACGGATGCATCCCGATGATTTCCATACACATCATCGCCACTATGAGTTCTTAGTAATGCCTTTCAATCCGCCCAATGCTCCCACTACTTTTCGAGGCTTTTATGAATGCTATTTTTCAGCCATATCTATGCGAATTGATTTTTGTATTTTTTTTTATGAAATATTAATATACAATAAGGATAAAATTGAACGTTTACATCATGTACATATTGGGTTTCTCAATTTTGCAAGCCAACTAGCTTCTTATGAAGAAAGAAAAATGCCATTTTTCTCAATGACAAATCCACTACTTGGGGCACATTATCAAAAAGGAGGGTGTTATGGTCGATCTAACCAAGATTGAGGCAATGACCAATTGACCCACTCCATAGAATATCAAAGAATTAAAAAAGCTTTATAGGTTGATTGGGTATTATAAAAAGTCTATTATAAATATGAGGGAATTGCATGACCATTAACTAACTCCGTTGAAAAAAGAATGCATTTGCTTGGAACCAAGAAGCAAAACAAGCCTTTCAACACTCGAAGAAAGTAATGACATAAGTACTAGTTTTGGCACTACTAAATTTCTCATTACCATTTATGGTTGAGTATTATGCATTAAAAAATGAGTATAAGTACGAGTTCTTATGCAAAATCAATAGCCCATAGCCTATTTTAGCACAAGTCTCAAAGGTAAAAACTTGTCTCCTTCTATTGATGAGAAAGAACTAATGGTATTGATACTTATAGTAAAAAAAATGGAGGTCATTTATGCTAGAAGGTCGTTTCACAATTCAAGCGGATCAACGAGTCTTAAATACCTATTGGAGCAAAGGATTACCACCGACGCATAATAACAATGGATTATTTAACTATTAGGATATGACTATGAGATTGAATACAAGCAAGGACATACCAATACAACAATTAATGCCTTTTGCAGGAGGGAACAAATTGAACTCAATGTTCTCTCCTCACACATCCCTTCTTTGGCTTCAACCCATTGTCATAAAAATAAAATTTATTCAAAGCTATAATGTATGCACCAATTAGTACAACAAAAAGAGGAGGTCGGTTAATGAAAAGTAAGATAAAGGATTTATTTATTTAAAGATAAAATCTACCTTCCATAAAATTATTCTTTGATTCCAATCTTGTTGCAAGATATACATGGGAGTAGTCAAGAAGGATACCACAAAAAACTACACCAATTAAAAGCATTGTTTTACTAGAAGAAAATCAAAGAAAGACTTCATGAGTTCATTCAAGAATGTGATTTTGCCAATGACACAAGTCCAAGCTATTAAAGCCTACAGGGCTTATTACAACCTCTACCGATATCCCGTGTATTGATACCCTCACGAGGTTTGGGAAAACATTTTAATGGACTTCATTGAAGGCCTTCTATCTTCCAAAGGAAAAACTATTATATTGGTGATAGTCAACGGACTTTTCAAGTATGCCAAATTTATTCCTCTTTCTATACACTACACTCGGCGTTACGTAGGTTTTCTTTGACAATGTATTCAAGCTCAATGGCATGCCATAATCCATTACATGTGATAGGGACTCCACCTTTACTAGCACATTCTGGAAAGAGTTGTTCAATCTCTAAGTTACATGGTTCAACTTTAGTTCCGTATATCATCCATAGATAGATGGTCAAACGAAGCGATTAACTATACTATTGAGATATATCTCTACTTGTTTCATAAGTTCAAAACCTAAGGAATGGACCAAGTGAATTACTTAGGTTGAGTATGCTATAACACTAACCTTTATTCATCCACTCGACTCACTCGTTTGAAGTTTTCTATAGTCAAACTCCATCAACGTTTCTATCTTATATACCCGAGTACTACAAAATTCTCTACTGCAGAGAAGTCCTTGCTTCAACAAGATGAGGCTCTTAAAGAGTTTAGAGAACGATTAGTGGGAGCACGGAACAAGATGAAGCAAGTATATGATCAAAAAAGGGTGGAATAGAAGTTTGTGTAAGGTGACTTGGGTCTATGTAATACTTTAACCATATTGACAAAATACTATAGCTATTAGGTTCTCTCATAAGCTTGCTACTCTTTTTGGACCTTTTAAAGTGATTAGCAAAATTAGACAGATTGCTTATAAATTAGTCTTGCTTATTAGGTAGTTAAATCCATCTTATTTTTCATGTCTCGATTTTTAAAAAAAGTGCAGGGAACTCATCTCAAGTCTTTGTCCAGCTACTAAATTGTTATAGTCACGATAATATCTCTATAAAGATTCCAGCGACCATTCTTGATGTTCAAGGTTATGGAAGAAGGTTAGAATACTTGGTTCGAGTGGCAAGGTACTAAGGAAATATAAACTATTTGGATCGACCATGCCGGTTAAATGTAAGACTTTCCTAACTTTTCTCTTCCTCGAGGGCAAAGAAATTTTAGCAAAGGGTATTATTAAAGTCCTGGTGTTATTTCTCCTTTCTCATAAATGTCTCTTTGACTAATTCTTTTTTTCCAATAACTCGAAGCTAATATTTCGACTCAACTCATATATCCAGGAGTTTGTCCATATTTTAATTCCTTAGAAATAATTCAAGTCATTAGTTTATTTTTCTTGTTTTATTTTCCATCTTCCCGTTGTAATGAAGCCTCTATAAAGGTTGTCTTGGTGCAAATTAAGATCATCATTCAATTATCTTCAATATTTGTTTTTGCAAAGTAGTACATCTTATCTCTATTTTATCCTTTCAAAATAGCTCGTGGAAGGAATGAATATGAGGTCTAGAGCACGGACCGTGTGGACGATCGAGAACATAACATATCGGTTATCACCAAATTAAACAACATAATATTTAAAAAATGTTAGCAACAAAAACATACTAGAAATCTTGTATTTGAATTTAACAACATTAAAGATCTCAAAAATAAAAACATAAGAAATACCAAATTAAAGAACATATATAGGAACCTAAACTCACCTTTTTAACTATCAAAATTAAATTTCCATCACCTAAAATTTCTTTTCGAAATCATGTAATCATTAATGCACCCAAATCTCACTCAATCCACTCAAAACAATATCAATTACAAAACAAATTTTTGTACAAATTGAATATAAAAAAAAATGGTATCTTCGAATTACTAAACCTCGAAGCCTAATATCTATCAAGGAATCGAGCAAAAATGATTGATTCCCAACTACAATTTAACTTAATCCATCATGTCCTTACCGGTAATTATGTATCATCTTTACTCCTAATAGATTTTGTAAGATGCGGTAGTGAAAAGAGAGAGGAGGAGGAGCAATGAAGAGAGAGATAAAAATGCATTGAATTTAGTATGAAACGGTGGCAAAAAGATAAATTAAAGTTGATTTTTGTTGAATCTTAGGTGATGAGAGAGAAAAATTACTTGTTTGGGATAGATTATTATTAGGAAATGAATAAAATAAGAAGATATAATCACATAACATAAAATTTATGTGATTCGACAAATTATGCATATTCTACGACTACATTAGGAATTCTTATTAAAAAAAATTCAATTGATCATTATAAATACAAGGGATATTATTCCTATTATAGTGTGGACTACTAAAACTATTTTTAAAAAACCTTTATAAGTCTATTTATAATGAGAATGTTGTATAATTTATGAAACTACATACGATATCTATATCGGTTTCTATAATTTAACATTTATATATATAAAGAGTTTTAAGATTTTAATCTATAAATTATTTGTGATTCGAGTAAAAGAAGATGAGGCTAGCTTTGAATGAATTAATACCATGGTTATTGATAGTAATGGTAACCATAGAGAAAGAGAGAGAATTTTTGATGAATTTAATATTTTGTTTGGATATGAAATCTAGAAAAAACTAAGTGTTTTTTTACCTTTTAATTTTTTTTGTTGTGATGTGTCAATCTTAGTCGATATTTTATCACATATTATTTGTTGTCAAAAATTGATTGAAATCTCATTAAATAAATCATATTTAAAAAATATAGAATAAAAGAATCCGATCAAAAAAAATAAAAGTAGCGAGAATTATATTAAGAAAGTTTTTTAAAAATACACCGATGAAATCATGCACTTAATCCAACATTTTTTGTATAAATTACGGAGATGAACTTGTCCAAATTGACTTCCGCATAAATGGAGTTTTTTTAATACCAAGGTACTTTTAAATCTTATTTACCATAATAGGATAGTTTTAAACTTATTTATCAAAATAAGGTAATATATGTCATATAGAAACCATCTTATTTATATAACTTGACATTTCAGCTTTTTTTAAAAATCATTTTGTTAAATAAATATTTTATCATCATATATTAATCTTTATTATTATTATCATTTGCTCTTAGTATTACTGCGATGTTCTTCTTCTTCTTCTTCTCATCTTATCTCTCTCTATCTTTTTTCTCTACATAATGATCTAAAATGAATTTTTAAATTTTCTTATTTGCCCAAAATCCTTTCACCCAAACGAGTTTCTATTGTGAATTTCGGTATTATCCTTTTTATTAATTAGTAAATCCCACCCAATAATATTTCCACCATAAACCTGCAGATCAACAATAGTTTTAAACACTCTAGTTGTACCTTGTACAAGTACGGAGAAGACACAAAATCAAGAGGAAACGGAGATTTAGGCTGATTTTGGAACGAGTAATATCTAATAACTTGTTGAGAAGCAAAAATGGAGGGGCAGTCGTATCCATACACACCAACGGATCTTAAACTGCTAGGCTATGTTCCTAATTTCCTAACTCAATCAACCATTGTTAGTGTCTATTTACTTGTCTACCTTCTTGTTGTTTCTTTCATCTAGATCGTCTCCGGAAGGTCTCGTAAAATAGCAAAAATTGATAGATTGCTCATGTCTTGGCGGGCTTTCACTTGGTCTCACACAATTAATTCTTGAGGGTTATTTTGTTCTCTCTAGAATTTTACAAAGACAAGACTCGCTCATTATCCGATCGAAGTTTGGAAAGAATATAGCAAAGGTGATTCAAGATATACGGCAAAAGATGCTTGGAACGAGTTATTGTTGAAGGAGTGACCGCTAGTTTTTAACGGTGCTCCATGAATGCGAGAGATCAAATGGCGATGATATATTATTGTTCTAGACATACAATCTACTAGAATCGGATATTTACATACTTTTGTAATCGTTATCAGTGGGCTTGGAAAAAGGTTAGCCAGCTTATCACTCCAAAATGCCTAAAATCGGATCTCGCTTAGTAAATTTATTATTAGAAAAACTAAAACGTTTCATCAAAACGTAAAGTTGCTTAATAAGGGTAATAAAAGGAATAAATATAAAAATATCGTTGATGAAAAATCTTATGTGGCAAAAAAGTATTTTTATTTGAGAATTAAGTTTAAAAATACCTCAATTAAGAAATAAAAATTTAAAAATGTATGATTTTAGCAAAAAATACACTGACGAAATCATGCACTTAATCCAACATTTATTCATAAATTCTGGAGATGAACTTGTCCAAATCGGCTTCCGCATAAATGGGGTCCCAAAAATTGATTGATGGAATGGAAACTTGCGAGGAAACTTTGCCATATACAGAGGGAGATTGATGGACACTTATAGCAATGGAACTTTGATATTTTTTGAATTTGAGAGCCAAAAGTGGATGTTTCTGGCCACTTTCGGCCCACAACCGCCGGACAATAAATAAAATGTAAGAATTTATTGCATGAGGAGTCAGCAAAAATCTTAATCAAGATCCCTGATGCATGAACGTGAGCACAGATGCCACTAGGCAACAAACAAGTTGCTGCTAGTCATCATGAATTATGTCATTGGCCTTTGCTTTCCTTTTTATTGCTGATAGGCCATAGCCAGTGGCAAATGCGTCCCAAAATGTAGTTTTCATGGTATACTAGCTACAATTTTGTACGTTTTTCTTTTTAATAATAAAATTTAGGAGAAAAATCAATTTAATTCCAAACTTATATATTTATTTTCGATTAAATTTTATTAATTAGTCTTAAATATTTTTTTAAAAAAAATTCTCAATCATATCTTTTTGTTAATATTCATCATTATTCTTATCAAATTTTCTCTAAATCGATGCTTTTTTAAAAACATTAATATGCTAGATTGAAAAATGTTAATATTCATTAAATTTCTTCAAGAGAGTATGATTATTCAATAACACTAATTGATTAAGATGGCTGAACACGTCGTGATTCCAAGAGGTTCTCACTTGGTGCTAATCAATAGTACTTAATAGTTTTTCTTATCTTTTTGTGGTATGAGAGGCTTAAAAATTGACTTATTTTATATAATCATGAACCATGTGATTAATATTTAGAAGTCAAAAATTAACAATTCGCTTATCTATGATATAGTTTTTTTTTTCTCTGATTTTTGAAAAGAGAGGGATTGATGTTCATGCCATAGGAGATTTGGCTACGATGCTTTTTGTCAAAACAATCTCAAATATCTAAAAATAAGTAATATCTTTGGCAAGTAGATCTTTGATGAGTATTTAAGGAATCCTAAACACATAAGAAATAGTTTTTGAAGTTATTAGAATGCTACTTAATTACGGCGGGATTAGTGTCGTTTATTATTGTAGGCACGAATTAATATAAAAACCCGTGTAGGATAGAGTGAAGAGTTTGATTTGATTTTGGTTTCTTTGAAACCCTAAAATCCTCATTAGCAAAGCTTAAAAAAGTTATGTTCAGCCGCGACAGACGGTAATGCCACAAAGGAAATTAAACCTGATGACTGTTTGTAGTAATGGTGTAAATTGGAAGATGTCGGACCAAATAATATTTGTTTCAATAAATACGAGGAACATCAAGCTTGCTAGGATGCTTCTATTATCAGTTCGGAGACGGAAAGAAGAGTTGAAGATTCTTTAAGACGTAGAGATACTTTCTTAAGGGGACGATTGATACGTAGATTTTTAAATGTTTTCTTAGAATGAAAATGTAATTTTTTTTTTTTAATTTGATTGAAAATAATTAGCTAATGTTCTTTAGTTCATCTTTAAAAATTCATGAAGAATACAAACAAATTTACCAGTTCAACTTTAAAACTCACAATATTTAAAGTTGAAAATATTAATATTTTTCTTTTATTTAAACATTACACACACATATATATATATTGAAAATGGACTCAACTAGAAGTTTAAATTTTTTATATAAAAAAATAAGGTTTTGATTAAAAAAAACCGCAAATTTGACAATGTTATCAAGTAAAATAAACTAAAGATATTAATTTGAAACCATAACGCCACAACATCTATAACAATTATATTATTATTAGTAATTGGTGCAATTAATATTAATGATAGGAATATTTAAGTCCAAAAATTAACTTTTACATTTGCTAGCTCCCGGATTGTGATTCCCATCATTTTAGAAAGAAATCAATTTCTTTATTTTCAAGGGAACGTGATGTCTTATAGAATATTAAAGAAATCACATCCTTTAAAATTTCCTGCGGAAAAGTTGGAATTCTTTACATCTCAAATGACTATTTTAAGAAATCTTGAATGCTGTCACGAATTGAATCGATACAAGTATTACGTAAGAGTCATAGTTATATCATGTGTAAAATATGTTAAAAAGCTAGCTGATTGGTTATAAAATACTTTAAACTATTGATTAAAAAAAAGTCTTCAGCCTTTTTCTTTAATTTAGGTTTAAAACCTTTTTGTGATTTCTAATTAAATTCTGTCATCTTATTGACTAATTTCAGATGACATTAAAAACGTATAGAACTATTAAAATAATAATACTTTTTTTGAAAACTCTAAACATAAGAAACATGTCATTATTTTATAAAAACATGTCTTTCATGTGCATTTAATATTGTTTGAAATTAATCAAATTAAAAAAAAATATTGGAGACCAAAATCAGAAAAAACAAAAAAAAAGTTAGAAATTTTTCCCAAATTGACTAATAGTTTATGGTACTTTATAACCAATTAACCATGTTAAAAGTTAATAGCTAAAAATATATATTATCTAATATACTAAGTTCAATATTTATATAAGCAAATGAAAAGTAATTCATATAAAACTATTGATTGTGATATTTAGTTTACATTAAGAAAAAAATATAAATAAAATTTTAACGAGTAATCTACAGTTGCAACTGCGATGCTTGTAAAACTTTATATCATGTTTCAAAAGAAATGATAATGTAAGGAAAGACAGAAGTTCTGTTGCAAAACCACCCTTATATGTTTTAAAATGATGGTCACTACAGAAGTTCTTATACGTTTTAAAATCATGGTCGCTAGTGCTAGGAGGATGATCCCTGTTGCAGGACAATGGTTTGACTTCAATTGCATTGCAAGGAATCCAGAGTGTTTTGCCTTTGAGCGAGGTTGCAGCAGATATTTCAATTTCTTGTTTGATGGTGTTCTTTACATAGTATTTATCTATATAACTTGCATATAAATCATCAGGACAGCACCACTCCTAATGTTTCTTACAAATGGTATAAGTGGATGATTAGATTACAGGTTTTATTACAATTTGGCACGATCTAGGTATGTTACTTCGACTTCATCTGAGACTCTAGCCGAATCCCGGATGCAAGAAAGGTTTTCAACAAATGATTACATGCTGTAACCTAATTTTTGGTTTCATTCTTTATGGTTTAAAGGGTGATGCTGCAGATACTGGAGTCGATAAAACTGATGATTCATCTCCTGGAGTTGCTGTATCTGTAATTACTTGCCGTCACCTAATTCAATGGCTTGAAACTTGATTTTTTTTCCACTTTTATCCATATTTATGGCAAAGGACTATTTCAATTCAAAAGTTTAAATTATTAAATAAGACATAAGATATAGTTTATTTATGTTATTCTTTAACACACTTATTCAAATTAAAGCTCTTTAAAATTTGCATAAATCTTTATTATTTTATCTTCAATTAATTATAAAAAAATAAAAATGATAGGATTTGAATTATTGATCATTAAGTTAATATGACTTTGATACTATGTAAATAAACCATTTCAATCAAAAAAATTTAAATTACTAAATATTATATAAATATATGATTTATATTATTTTTTAATAATTTTACCGTGTGACATTTTAACAGGTGAACATAAATATAAGCATTATTGATATTGTGGTGATCAAATGAAATATGTTGTGTAATCTTTCTGACGTGACAGGTGCTGTGTAGTTTCAGCTTACTCAAAACTTTAGAATCCCCGAGGATCATGTCAAGGCAATTGGATGATTAAGAGATAAAATTGTGTGTCACTCATGCAACCAAAAAGGAACAAAAAAAAAAAAAAAAAAATGTAGACGGGAGAGGATGATCCTTTTGCGCTAGGCACAAAATGAGGTGAAACTACAAAGCTATGGATTCTTCATCAAGCTACTAGATAACCCTAAAGCAGTTACCTATGCAATTACCTATATCTTCATCTATTATTTTTTTTCTACGATCAACAAGTTGATATATGTATTTGTTGGGTTTATGATATAATTCCAGCGTATGAGTGGCCTTAACATATCACATTAAGAAATTAATTAAGAAAAAATTAAATAGAAAAAAGACTGAATTGGCAAGAAAAGAAAATTGAAGGGCAAATAATGAAGTGTGTGCAAGGATGGTGATAAAAAAAAAAGTAAGAAAAAGCAAAAAGCAATTTTGTTTGGACCTTTTTCGACATATGGTAGATGCAAAAGAAAGTTCTAATTTCTCTATTATTGATTTTTTTATTTTTGAGCATTACGATTGTATAAATTATAGTGTTTAAAATGATGATTTTATATAGTATTATACTTTATAGAAATATTAAAATTTTGTGGATTTTAAGTTTTTATAATAAGACAAATTTAATTAAAAAAATAATTTATATTGTTATCAACATTTTTGCTTTTTAAACTTACGAAGAAATTGGAATGATTATATTGTTTTTATTTTTTTATTATAGTGGATTATTTAGAAATTGATTTTGTAGTTTTTTTTCTTAATGATATAAATATATTTTTTAGGTAAATTTATTGTTCTTATGATTGGGTTTGTGTGATTGATTTATTTTATATTTTTAATTTTTTTTTATATTTTTAGCTTAATTAATTTCTCACAAAATTTAGTTTACACGGAGTGCGATTAAAAATTTCCAACAGTATTAATATTTGTTATGTAGTAATTTTTTTTTATTTTTTTATTTTGCATATATGGTTAATGGTGTGCTTCTACTTAATTAATGAGTTTAGCTTTATATATATATATATATATATATATATACTTGTGAATTTTAAAAGCTAATTAAACATACAATATCAAGCTGGAAACAGAAATATTCCAATCCATTTGAAATTTAGCTCCCATTGAAGATAAAACTCACAACTATGGCAAAGTTTCAAGTATCATACAACTTGCACTTAAGATCTTGACAGGAAAACGGAAAGGCAAAGGATGGAGAGAATGAGGAAAAATGATGGGTCAAGAATAAATCACATTGGTGATGAGTTCTATAGATAAAAAGCTGACTTACCACTAGGTGTAATCACTTCAGTAAGTGGTGCACATAGTTAAATCTTTTTCAGATCAAAATACTCTTTATATTTATTAATTTAGAATATCTAAAAATTACTACATTACAGTTAATGTTTTTGGTTGGATCACATGTCATGCAACATTCTCACTTAACAAAACTATTAGAAAATAAGTTATAAATCCCAATTAAAAAATTTGATCCAGCATTCTAAATCACCAAATTTATGTATTGTTTGCACTTCAATGTTCACAGTTACACAAAAACTAGTCATCAATAATAATAATAATAACAATAATGTCATTGCAACAAAAAATAATAATTATAACTCAAGAAATCTGAATTGAAAAGAAGAGACTATAGTCCTTTAAACAAATAATTTTGGTTTCAAATTCTTATATACGTAAAAAACTCTTTTAAATAGTTATGTATGTTTTACATGTTCAAATGAAAAGTGAAAAATTAATTTGAATCTTTGTACAAGGATACCTTACGTATAAAAAAAATGATAATTATAAATTTAACTTGATTTCAGGAAAGGGACATTGGAAATTATGTTGAGGTCCTGAGGATATAACTATGAAAAATTGAAACATTACTCGAGCGCTTGATGGATGGGGAAGGCCTAAGCCTGGGCTTATGTGCGGTCCTCTAGACATAACACCCAATCTTCTTTAAGCGCTTAAAGAAGATCCATGGGGCATAAATTAATTAGCCCAAGTTTTGTTTGAGCCTTAGGTCGACCCAACTGAATAGTCGGGGCATGCAAGACCGCTACCCATTCGCTGTGTTTCAGGCCATGGTTTTACAAATGCGAGTCACGAGTACAATGGGCACTTGCCCATACTGCATAAAAATTTTCCAACTATAGCATAGCTTACTCGAAGTTGTTTTCCACAATAAGGTATTTTCAGATCTTATTTCTCATAATAAAATAGTTTTAAATTTATTTTTTATAATAAAATATTTTATGCCAAATCAGAGTCATTTTATTTTAATACATTTACATATCAGTTTTATTTTTTATTTTTGTTAAAAAATTATATTATCATCATAGACCACTCTCCTCTTTTATTATCTTTTTTATGTATTAACTCATATTCTTATGCAACTCCTCAACAATGATTGTTTCATAATGTTTGATCGAAAATACTTTGGCTATTCGAATCTGTCGCTACCAAAAGGAAAGTGCCACTATGATCCTGGGGAAGAAGTGCACAGCTTCTGCAGTGTTGCTTCCTTTGATGTTACAAGCTGGAACAAATAATATTGCAGCTGCTAAAGTTTTTGTGTGTGGAGGTGCACCCGAAGGCTCTTTTAATGTAGGCGAAAACGGATAATCATGTCAAGGCTGTAGATACATGCGGTCGAATTGTGATAGCTGATGAGAATTAGGAATGGCAATGGGCTGGGTACCGGCTCGTTAAGCTAATTTCATATTTTATTCATTAAAAAAATATTATATTTATTATCTTATTTATTATTCAATAAAAATTATTTATTTATTTCTTTACTCGGCACATATTCATTATATAATATCCTGTCTATACCTATTTGCTCGTTAATTTTTTTCCTTAAATTGAAGATTTTTTCAATTTTTTTATTACTGAATTTTTTTTAATTATATTTCTTTAAGTCTAATTTTAATGAAAAAATTTGCTGCTAACACTAAAAATTCCCGAAACAACTTATGCATTTTATTTTAAAATTGGGAATGATGGCACGAAGAACTTATGGTTTGGCTGGAAAAAGAATCAAAATTCTCCTCCTCAAATCAATAAAATTTATTTCTTTCATAACGTTTTTGTTGACTTTTAAAAATAAAATGAAAACTCGTCTGAAAAAAATAAAAACACGTGCATGTAAAAGCAATCTAGCATAAATCAATAATAAAAAATTAAAATATTTTTAATCATTTTTAAAATAGTTTAAAAACATTTTCTAAGGTAAATAAAAAATATTTGGAAAATAATTTTTAACAATAAATCGATAAAAATGTGTAATTTTAACTTCTTTTTTTTTTCAAATTCTTAATGAACTTAAATTTTTTTTTTTTTTTGAAACCCATGTAAAGCTGAGACATGCCCTCTACTGTCTAAACAAACAAAATATGAAAGAATCTCTGATGTCATTAAACGAGGTGAATGAAAATGACGAACGAATCAGTGATACACATGAAATCGAGTAGCCACTTGATCACAGTTCTAGTGTAAAAGTGTTGTTTATTTGGTAAAATTTTATTTTTTATTTTTTATTTTAATGTTAATGGGTAAAATATAGGTATCAATAAAATAAAAAAACGATACCCATATTCATGATTAAATTATCCATTAACATAAATAGATAATATTATTTTACTCATATTTAATCTATTACTCATTAGGATATTTTTAAAAAATAATTAATAGACAGATCGGATGAGGTATCTATTTTATACCTGACCTGTTACCATACCTAAATTGAGAATCCACAGTGATCCATGAAAACTATGCCTCCAAGTAGGGTAATGAATGACATGATACTGCTTCTTAATGGCAACGTTTTGATCATAAATGGTGCAAAAACTGATATTGTTGGGTGCGAATATTTGCAGAATCCAATCTTGAAACTTATCCTATACCAACCTAACAACCCAACAGGGTCAAGATTTGACTTACAGAATTCAGGCACAATACTAAGAAGGTATCATTCCATAGCAATTTTGGTTCGGGATGGTAGGGTTCTTGTTGGTGGTAGCAATCCTCATCCCTTTTACAATTTTACAGGAGTCTTATTCCTAACTTGATTGACAATATTCATATATTAAATAATTTTTTTAATAATTATAATTTTAAATTATAAGAATATTTGAATTTTAAAAAATTAAGACAAAGACAATAAAAAAGAGACGAAAAGAACGTAAATTTTTTTTGTTGTTTCTAATTTATTTAAATTAGTATATTAAATATATATTATAACACTTAATTAAAAAAATGATATGAATGCCTACATGGATAAACTATTCTTTTTTTTTATAATAAGATTTAAAATACTTTATTTTTTAAAAAATAGATTAAAAAGTATCCTATTTAAGAAAAAAAATCAGGTTACTCGGTAGTGTTGTCCTCAGTGAAAAAAAGTGTAATTGCAGTAGAAGTCCTTGGAGTAAATTATAAATTAGTTCTTATTGTTTTGAAAAACGAATTAATTAGTATATTTGGTTTTAAAAACTAATTATTTAATCTTTTAAACCAGTGTTGATTATGATTAATTTAATATTTTTTATTTTATAAAATATCTTTTTTCTCATCAATTTATCCATATTTTTACTATTTTTTATTTATTAAAATAAAAAAATAAAAAAATAATTAATTTTTAAAACTAAAAGGATTAATTAATTTATTTTTCAAAATGAGAGAGACTAATTTATAATTTATTCAAAGTTCCTGGGATATTGATTTATAATAAAGATATTTTTGAGGTTTGAATTTGGAAAATTAGATATCTATAGTTAAGTCTGTTAAACAGTTCTCATTGTCTAAAGTCAACCCATGTTTTTTAGTTAATTTGACTTTTAAAAGAGAGGGAGGACATATGTCATTTTTATATTGGTTATATTTTTAGAAAAGAAAAATTCACAAAGAAAATATTATTAAATTTTTTTCCAACTTTTTAAATTTATTTATAGCTAGAAATTTTTTTTAGAATGTTTTTTATTTATGTTGAATTTTTTAACTGAAAAAAATAAACAAAATATTGATTAAATTATTTTGTTAATTTATTAGTTTATGCTTTTTTTTAATATATATAAAAATTATATTTTTTGACACTGCCTAAGGATTTTAATTATTTATTATTTTAATAATCAAGATATTTCAAAACAAGTTACGTATACTAAAATCAAATCTATGCTTTGAATGACAACTTTTCTCAATCCTTTTTTGACTTTTACGTAGGAGTACGTCAGAAAAAATTGAAAATAAAACGTAAAAATAGTTACTCATTTTATTTCTGACCAAGTATTGTGGGATGTGGTAGAGCATCTGTGAATTGATGATGCACCTCTAAGATCTCGTGAAGCTAACGGATGCTTTTAGTGCATCAGTTGAAAAAAATATTTGAGTATATTTATTAAACTCCATTTATTTATTTATTTTGAATTAAAAAATAATAAAAACCAAATATTTGAATAAAAATCAATGATATTTATTAAAAAATAACTAAATGATATTTTACATGCTAATATTTTTAAATATTTACAATAAATTCTAAAGGAAAAAATCTGAGATTAATTATAAATATTAAATGCTCTAAAGACATTCATTGGCCAAACCCCTCATGTAAATCATATATCCCGAAAGAGACAAAAAAGCCCGCTCCATTCGGTAAAAGATTATAATATATCATACCAAACTTTTCAGCATATTTTTGGTAAAAATTATTATTATTATTTTAATAATAATTTTTTCAAGTAAATGTAATCATCTCGTTTGTATATAATACTCAAAGTCTTTTATCTATTTCTAAATTTCTAATTACATCTTTTTTTTTAATATTTATTTTGTTATTTCGATCAATTTTTTTGACCATATATAATTTTTTCAACCGAAATGTTTTGGATTGAAATGCAAAAAAAAAAAAAAAAACTAAATAATTCAAAAATAGAAAATACAGGTGATATGAATTTAAGATTTTTTTTTTATAAATTAATAAAGGATATTTTGATAAAAAAATTTCTCTATAATAATAAAAATTAATTAAAAAACAGATTGAACATTTCAAATATTTTGAAAAACATAAATGATGTAATTAAAAATATAAAAATAAATAAAAAAATTGAGTATTATACATATGGATATATTTATTATTATTATTTTTTTTCAAAAGCGTCAACATTTTTCATACCTAAATTTTCAAAATCATATCCAATTTCAGGAATGGGCATTAGACAACATCTCTCACAACGTGACATGTAATTAATTTCCAGTTTGATTAAAAATGTCCATCCAATTGGCACAGAACAAATCATGGCAATTAACGTCGCCAACTCACCATTCCATAATTGAGATTTGAGAATTGGTAATTAACGGAATAAAAAAGAAAATGGCATCCCATAAATCTTAGCTGTTATCACATTGTTGATTGTCTGCATATATCCAATAAATAACACACAAAATCGTATCTGAAAACCCAAGTCCACGTCAGTTTGTTGGTTTCTGACAAGAAAAGTATGAAAGTAGAAACAGAAAAAGCAACATAAACACAGCAGAGCTGGGTGACGCATTCTAGTTCCTTGCGTCAAGATCCAAGTAATTTGATTGACAATAGAACCAGATAAGTCTTAACCTCACAATGTGACATAATTTGGCAGTTTCAAAAATCAAAACTTTTTACTGTTTTTCAAGGCAAAAAGTATGGATTTGAATCATTTCATTTTTTCCTTCTTAAAATATGGGTTTGAATCATTTTTTTTAATAATATGAACATTAATTTGAATCTGATGATCTGAATTAAATGAAAAATAAAATAATCATAAATTAAACTGTCACTATTTTTAATATTATGCACTAAATTGTATCTATGTGATTTGATTTTAATGATGAGTTAAGAAGCAAAGGGAAGATGAGAGCATCTGAATCCAAAAAATGTCAAACATTTCATACTATTATTATCTTTATCTTTGTAAAAATAAATAAATTTTTTTATAATATTTAAAAAATAATTAATAATATATATAATAATAATTTTATTAATTCATTTAAATGATAGAGATAGATATATAAATTACATCTAAATTCATTAAAAATAATAAAAAAATCTTAACATTCGCTTAATTTTTTTTCTTATATTTTCTCTCCTATGTTTCTCTCTCCTTTTATAAAATTTCTCGTAATAAAATATAACACCAACACAGATCAGATGACGTAAGTCAATCATGTCAAGGGGTAGAATATTCAAAACAAAACCAATAAAATCAGAATACAAATGCTAGAAGACGGCAACGATTCCTCTTAATTCACGTTCTTTCCTATCCACTACAGAATAATATTAACTCAGATTCGATCAAACTGTTTCCCATCTCTCCTTCTCCATTTTCATTGCATAAACATTCGAGAACTTAAAACAATCAACTTCTTTCTATCTTTCATTCTTGGTTGGTTGAATAGTTATGGCTTCTTTGAGTTTGACCCAGATCAGAGGGAGGAATTCTGTGGCTGAGTTTAGTAGGCGGAGTTTGAGAACTCAACGTGGCAGGAGTAAAGCTGGGTTCTTGAGGGTGGCGGCTTCTCAGGGACAGGGTCAGGGAGAGCCCGATTTGAGTGTTACTGTAAATGGGTTGCAAATGCCTAACCCGTTTGTTATTGGGTCGGGTCCTCCTGGTACCAACTATACTGTCATGAAAAGAGCCTTTGATGAAGGTTGGGGTGCTGTCATTGCCAAAACTGTGAGTTTTCACCTTTTCTCATTGTTTTTTCTTTTTTTGGGTATATTTAGTTATTGAACAGAAAAGAAATGATATTGAGTTTTGATATGTGGAGGTTCTCTTGCAATGTTTTGTTTTGGGTAGTTTTTGATGGATTGATGTTGGAAGTGGGATAATATCAATGCTAATGTTTAAGATCGTGGTGTTACAGTTGAGTTTTGGCTTAATCTAGTGGGGATTGATTGGTTCAAAGTTTGGTTAAGTATTTTGATCATTTTTTATCGTTGCTGACTGGATTTTGTTAGATCAGATTCTAGACTCCTTTGTTCAGATGGGTGGTTATTTCATACTAATATGGGAAATCCATAATTTTATTGATTGCCATGCCGCGCACGTCTTCCTTTTCCTTGCTGGTATTGATTGCCCTGTTTTTGTCAGAATCAAACCTTTATTTCACAGAACCAGAATTGACACGGTGAGGGAAAGGCCAATTAAACCAAAGAAATTGGTCTTCTTTTCCTTAAATAGAATAGCTCCTGACTCTAGCTAACCTGGTCTTTCAAGCTAGTGCAAAATGAATTTTCTTAGTAATAATTTGGCTGTTTATGCAAAACGTTGATCAGTATAAAGTAGTATTGTTGATCGTTAGTAATTATTATAGGTACTTTCAGGCTAGTTGATTGAAGTAATCGAGGGGTATTGTGTGATTTCATAATTACTTTTGAGGGATGCTTTGTAACTTGATGTCAGAAGTTCTATGTTCTACAAGGACTATCATTTGCAACAATCAATTTTGACCAGCATATTTACTTGCCTCATCTCATATATTTATAAGAGAGACTTCCTTATCCTCCAAGGATAAAAGAGGTAGCAACTAGTCTTAATTAGACTCTTCGTTATTGCTTCCTAATCCTCTAAGAATTAGGAGTTATTTAACATATGGGCTTTTGATCTTTATCTTTAAAACATTCAACCTTATCCAATAAGGTTCATATTTATCCTCCCATCAAAATATCTTTTATGCTTTTAATTAAACCTATTAGCCAAAAATTATTTTGGCCCAATTAATTAATTTAGACTATCCAAATAAATTAAGTTAGATAATTTTTAGGTAGTCCATGTCATAAGAACGAAGTGCCTAGGGTCATAGTTTCTATGTTTAATTGGAGAAATCTTTATTTTCAATTTATTTGAAGCATGTTGTCACCTTTCCAAGCTAAAGCTATTTGATCTAATCGTTAAAAAAAAAAAAATGATCTTCAATTCTTAATTTGCTAGGTGTCACTAGATGCAGCGAAAGTTGTAAATGTAACTCCTCGATATGCTCGGCTAAGAGCAGGTGCAAATGGCTCAGCCAAGGGGCAAATTATCGGTTGGGAGAATATAGAGCTCATAAGTGACCGGCCTCTTGAAACAATGTTGAAAGAATTTAAGCAGTTAAAAGAAGAATATCCTGATAGGATTCTCATTGCTTCAATCATGGAGGAGTATAACAAAGCTGCATGGGAGGAGCTTATTGACCGAGTAGAGCAAACTGGAATTGTAAGATTTTAGTCATCACCGGTTGCTTACTTTTGTGATAATTTTTAAACTGGATGCTTGCTGTCATCTAATATTCCTGAAAATGTTTCTTAGGATGCCTTAGAAATCAATTTCTCATGTCCTCATGGTATGCCTGAGCGTAAAATGGGTGCTGCAGTTGGTCAAGATTGTACACTATTGGAAGAGGTTTGTGGCTGGATTAATGCAAAAGCTACTGTCCCGGTATGGGCAAAGATGACTCCTAACATCACTGACATAACACAGGTCAGTTTCTTCTTTTGTTACTACACTTGTACTTTAAGCTTGATTTATGCATGTATTTTAAAAATATTTGACCAGGGATGGGAATTTCTTTGCTTGTTATGTATGCTGTTCATTTACAAGACCCGTTGCTAAGGAAAGATCAAAATGGCAACACTTTTTAATTTTTTTCACAGAAAAAATTGGGTAGATAAAAGCTTTTTGGCATTGAAGTTGGGGTAGCGATTCAACTAACCTTTCCTATAAAAAATAACTTATTGCAGAAACTTTTAAGTATTAATCTTATATATATATATATTTTAACTATGGAACTCATTCATGAGAATAGCTGAAGAAATGGAACAAGTTCGGAAAAGGGTAAATTTCACTACCCTTTTTCCAGGCTTAATGAAACAACACCGGTAGACCAAAAATTTTAAAACCTAGTGATACTGCCCCATTTGGAGATGGAGTTTTTAGGTAATATAGGTGAAATTTTTATGAAGAAATACTGATCCAGTAGTGGATTCAGTCTAGAGAGAAGAAAAAAGAAAGAAGAAATATCAGGGAGACACTTTATTGGAAAAGAGAATTCAGATAGAAAGAATCACAAATGCCTAAAGATACCCTACAACCCTAAGCTAAAGTTATTTTATAGCTCATACAAAACATACAGTATTTGCTAGCTGATTCTAACTAAATTCCCACCAATATTAATTTTCCTACTAACTAACTTCCCACCAATACTACTTTTCCTACTAACTAACTAACTCATTGTACCTACCAATTTGCACTGTAACACTTCGTAGACCCTTCTTTGGGTGGTTGAACCAGCGAAGTGCAACTGAAGCGTTATGCATAGAAAGGTTCTTATGAGGTTGAATAATATTTTTATGAAACTTCAATTTTACAAACCATTCTATCAAGGTCAAATGTTCAGTCGAGCTTCTGAATTCAAAATTTATTCTCAACCAATTGATCCAGCCTTGCAGAAAGTTGATATTACTTGCTTAACAGACTGTTTTTCCTCTCTAGTTTATAACATCGGAAATCTAATCTCAAAAATACTTAAAACACCATGCCCTTTGAGCATATGTAATACAGAAAATGCAATTCTGTTCATCTCATCTATTAAATAGCATAGATCTTTGGCATTAATATTTCAGCTGCATTTTTACTCATAACTTCATTCCTACCCTGTTGCACAGCCAGCTAGGGTGTCTCTAAAATCAGGATGCGAGGGAGTGGCTGCTATTAACACCATCATGAGTGTAATGGGAATAAATCTGAAAACCTTACGGCCAGAGCCTTGTGTTGAAGGGTTTGTGTTAGCTGAAAAATGACAATTTTTCGAATCAAATATCATTCCTTAAATAAAACTTAGGTGCTTAAATTTTGCTGTCAGATATTCAACTCCTGGGGGTTACTCTTCCAAAGCAGTCCATCCTATTGCACTTGGGAAAGTAATGAGTATTGCCAAAATGATGAAATCAGAATTTGATTTGGAGCAATACTCACTTTCTGGTATTGGAGGTGTTGAGACAGGCAGTGATGCTGCTGAGTTTATTCTTCTTGGAGCAAATACTGTTCAGGTAGGCAATAGTGATTTTATTGCATTTTATTTATCATGTTCTTATTCTCATCTCATTCACATCTACCTGATTAACATCACTTGCCTGTTCAACCATAAAGATTGTTATTATTGTTATGGTTTGTGAATCTTCTCTCCAAAAGCTTAAGCTGTTGGGTGAAACCTTGATAATGGTTATATTCCTCTCTGACACAGCCACTCAAGTGAAAGCCTTTTAGGCTTGAAACTTACACAGGCCCGCTACTATCGTGTGCTTAATTTTTAAAATTTTTTATTTAAGAGAATGAGGAGGGTGCTATGTCAAAGAACCATCTTTAACTCAAAAGCTTATGCTGTTGGGTGAAGCACCATGGATGGTTTTATATCACTTTCTAACACTAGGAGAGATTCTTTCATACTATTATTTGCTGGAGAAAAGCACAAAGATTGTGTAAAAAGGAAAAAAGAATAACAGAATTAAAAGAAGAAAGAACAGATTTTGGAGCAAGTTTTTTTTAGTTATTATGGAAGTTCAGGTGTGACAAACCAGCACCATATCTGTGTAATCTGAGCTTGATGTCCTGTACAGTTTAATACATTCTAACTTGAAGTGTAAACTTCAACAGCAGCTTATCGAGCCATGGCTTGACCCATAAGTAGAAGTCAGTGGCTTCCAAGTACACATCTTCTACAAGTTATAAGAAAAAAAAATTGTTCTTGATCAATGTTCTAGCATGTACTTGGGTTTCTTTAGACGAGGCCTAGTAAAAACTAGATGGGGATTCTATAAAGAGTATTACAGTGGTATGTATGAAGAATTCACCTATTGATAACCAGCGTTTAATTAATTTAATAGGGACTTGAGTCTCTGGATGCTAGGAATTTGTTCCTTTTCCTCCTAATTATTGAAGGCCTAGCTGGTTTACTTCCTTTGCACAGTAGTAATTAATGATCATTTTCATAATGTGTGATTACCTGGTTACGACACGCACCCTATGACCTTTGGCAATTGGAACTAAGAACTTTGGGATGGTATATAACAAAGAGTAATCACTTAAAGGGACTTTGATTTCCAAGAAACATATATCTGGAAGCAGGTGTGAGGAAGGGACAACTACTTAAATATTATCCCTTGTCTCCAGAAGTTATCCCTTTCAGTTTGTGTTTTGTAGTGGCTCAGCTCTTTCAATATTCCTAGTGAATAAAAAGACAGAATCATCCACTGCACTCTTAAGTGCTCGAGTTATTAAACTGTCATGAACATTTTTCTATTTTTAGAAAGGTATCTTTGTTTTTACTTTATAACTCCTTCAGCAAATGAAAATAATTTCTAAACAAACTGTTGTATTGTGAGCAAATATTTAAGATCATTTATTTTTTACTGCAGGTCTGCACCGGGGTTATGATGCATGGATACGGCCTTGTGAAGACACTCTGTGATGAGCTTAAGGATTTTATGAAAATGCACAACTTCTCATCGGTAGAAGATTTCAGAGGGTATGATTTTTAATCAAAGAAATCCTAAGTTGCAGCTATAAAAAATTGCCAGCACGTTTTATCTTAAATTTCATGCATTTGTTTTGTTGGTCTTCCAGAGCATCTCTCGAGTATTTTACAACGCATATGGATTTGGTTCGCCGGCAACAAGAAGCCATACAACAGAGGAAAGCTTTGAAGAAAGGTTTGCAGTCTGACAAAGATTGGACTGGAGATGGTTTTGTGAAGGAGTCCGAGAGCATGGTTTCTAACTAAATTGAAAAAACCACAGCAAATCCTCTGTTGTGTAATAAAAATTAATGGGATTTCATCCTACCTTATGTTGATAGTTGAGCTTTGTTGTTCTTTGAATTCAAGAACGGGGTCAAGCTTATTAATTTTTCATTTGCAATTGTAATAACTTCTGTCATGTTTGTCATTTCTATTCATCTAAAGTAGCTGATGAAAGGCAGTTGAATCAGCAGGAAAAAGAAAAGTACTGTATCAATAAAGGGAAAAGAAGAAGGAAAAAAATAAAAAACCTCGAAAGATTGACGTTTTCTTTTTTCTATTTAGATTTGAACGCGAGACCTTGTTTTGGGAATGTTTATCCACAATCAGTACTTTACCTAGAAGGTGTTCCCAAGCTTAATTTCATGTAACGTGGAATTTAAAAAATGCGTTGTTTTTTCTATGTTTTCAAATGAAAATGCAATAAAGATTAATCATGCACAGACCGAGTTTTGCATGATTTCTAACAGCTGGTGGCATCAAGAGTGAAAAATTATGCAATTTACGATCTAGTATATACTGTATATTTGTTATCACTTTCCATGTCCATGTGGTGCCTGCACAACCGAGGATTCATTGTTAACTAGAAAGGAAAAATACATGCACAGAAAAGTCTTGCATGCTTTTCGGCCTTCCTCTCGTGGTTTGAGACAAGTCTAAAGATTGCCCGAATTGGTTTGGCATGGTTTTTGTTACTGTATCTTTTTATTCCAAAAAAACAGCAATTTATCGAAAGATTCGAAACAGATAGCTGAGTTCAGTTCGTTTATTCCTCCAAGGGGATGCCGCTCAATCGATCAAGCATCAGCATGCCTTGCCATAGATCAAATATTTGAAGAAAGACAGAATAAAAACAGCATTTGCAGAAACATCTTCTGGCACATGATTTTAAATGGTCTATAGGACATTTGACCATATTTTAGATTTATAATAACTAATGTCATGTTGTTCTTACAAGTCACAAAGACAATGGCTTTACCATAAGCACTTAGATTACCTAAGTGGTTGCACCATGACTAACTAGTCATTTCAACACCAAATTTCACAAAACGAATTCTGCATTCTCTCTTCATTCTTTGCTCCATTTTGCATTAGTCATTTCTTTTTTTTCCTGTACAAGAATATGTCCAGATAAAACATTAGTATTTAGTAGTTCTTGTTAATATTAAAGCAAGTTTTAATTTTATTGAGTTTTTGGAGCATCAATATAGCCTCACAACAGCTTATAAAATGTTTAATCCAATATTGCAGTTTAAATGGAAGATAGGAAACAGATTCAGTTACTTGGCATATCAAGTAGCTATTCTGGGATAAAGGTTAGGAAATTTGATTTACTCGAATTCCATACAAACAAAATAAGTTGTATAGACCAAATTAATTATTTTTCAAAGTAACTGATTCATTATTTACTATTTTTGGAATCCACTGCTGATCATTTATCATCATTTTCCATATTAATTTATATGTAGCTTTTTATATATAATTTAGGGTAATTGCTTAATTTGTCATTCTATAATAGTTTGAGTCATCAATCTATATATTATTACTTTTTCTAATTGTATCTATCATGATTTTAAATATTATTTTAGTCTTTAATATGCTATTCCAATTAATTTTTCTGACCATAACATTTTTTGACCAGAATGTCTGAGATTAAAATAAAAATTAAAATTAAAGAGTTCAAAAATAAAACATGCATGGAGTCTTTAATTTTTTTTTTTTTGGCATTTCAGTCAATAATATATTTGTCAATTTTTTTTCCTTATGGTAGAAAAATCGATCGAAATGATAAATTAAAGATTTAAATATTATTTGAAACACAATAGATGTAATTAAAAACATAAAAATATATTGAACACTAAAACTCTTATATAAAAACAAATTAAGCTATTTACCCTATAAGTTGCCTTTAATTAAAATTAAGCTATTTACCCTATAAGTTGCCTTTAATTAAACAGTTTAATATTAATTTACCAATTAATACTTTTTGAATCCCTTATTCATCATTTATCATTCGCCACATTGGTTTATAAGAGATTTTTTAAAACATTTTTGTACACACATACATACACACACACACACATACATACATACATACATACATACATACATACATATATATATACCCGGTTGTCATTTCATAGCTTAAGCTTAGCAACATAGTTAATTTATTAGAGACAAAGGAATTAATGATGCAAACTAGCTCACCAGAAGATGTTGTGGAATGTTCATAACTTTCGGAATGGGTTCTTGTGAGCTCCTTAAGCTGTAAGTGCGTGCTGTTGATGAAAGCTACAGTTTCCTGCTGGGGTTCCTCCATTGCTTCTTTCAACTTGCTTAGGGCAAAGCAGTATGCTTCCTGCAGATTGATCATTATGATCAAAACCAGGTGTGTGGTAATCAATTTTCAGAAGAAGAAATAGAAAAACAATCCATATGATTGTCATGCAAATCAGCATATATCTCATCAAAAGATCACTTAATTAATCGAAAAATAATTAGCTGAGGCCGATAATAAGCCTATCTCTTCTCATCATCCACATCTGGGCCTGTCATTTATTTTGCATCTCTGCCCTTTTTCTTTAGTTTTTGGATCTGCAATGGCTAGGTTATCTGTTGACTAATGTTATTCTGAAACAGTGGTTGCTTTCACTCCACACCTTATAACTTTTATCTTTGATTTAATAAATTTTTTTGATCCCATTCATACAAAACAAGAGATTTCATGAAATCAAATAACTCAAAGAAAATTTAAAATAAAAGAAAAGAAAAAGAAAACTTATTCCTTTTGACAGCATGTGGTCTAAGTCCACATGAACATCTCGTTTTTGTGTTTATGCATTAAAGGATAAATTGGTATATAGTTTCTTATGCATTATTGTGACAGACAATTCAACATCGAGGAAAAATGAAACGAAATACTCACTAATAACTATATTCATTCGTGTCAAATATATATTCTAAATTCTTTGTTTTTAAGGGACGGTTTGGTATAGTTTTTATTTTTAGAAAACCAAAAACTATTTCTTGTTTATTTTACATAGTTTTCTAAAAACTGTTTATTTTTTAATAAATGTAAATGGTTTTTTTTTCTTTATTTTGTCTTATTCAATTTAAAAAATATATATCTTTAGTGAAAATATAAAACCTAGCAATATCATATGTAGAATTATCGTGATGAAATGACCACAATAAAATAACGATAATACATATATTTTGATTACATACGGTGGTGGTGGTGGAGTTATTGATAATAATGATAATACTAAAAGAGGTTGTGGTGCAGAAATGATAATGAAAATGATGACTGTAATGGTTATCGTAGTGATGCTAGTGATCGATGGAGCTTTTATGATGACGATGATAGTTGTGATTATGATAGGGATAATGATGTTGGTAATTTGGTGATTGTAATATCAGTAACATGATATCTTGCAAGTTAAAAACTAAAAACATAAAATAGAAAAAAAAATTAAAAAAAAATTGTTTTGATTTTTAAAATTATTTATAGAAAAAAATAAACAAAACACTACAACCAAACATGTTTTTTGTTTTGTTTTGTTATTTTTTAAACATAAAACAATGAATTAACCGCATTGATATTAAAAAAACATAGAGATTTTTTTTCCTTTTCTTTTTTTAATCATATTTTGTTTTTAATTCTGATAAGATGTAGAGTGTTTACTTTTCAAAAAAAAAAATAGTTTTTTTTTTGTTTTGGAATTCTCAATCTTCTCTCTCCTATTTTTTAGTATATATCCCTTACTTTTTTAGATTCTATAATAAATTTAAAAAAAGATATAAAAGGTAAGCATGACTATAACGGGTTAAATTTTGGTATTTGATTTTGGATAATATTTCATAGCCAATTATTTAAATAATTTAAAAGGTTTGAATTAAATTAGTCACAGCGTGACATATCATGTTTTGGAGAACAAAAGAGGATATCTAATCCGTAGGACACGAGTTCATGTAATGCTATAAAACTTGGAAGTTTTTTTTTTTAAGTGACAACCGACAGAATTTGAAGCTCGCAAGAAATTGATACGGAAAAAGGAGAAGAGAAATGAAGAATCAGAGAGAAAGTTTAGACCAATATTAGTTTCACACATTTTTCATGTTTAGTATCATTTTTTTAAAGATGATGTTGAATTGGAATTGTTAATTACACACCTAATAGAATTAAAACTAGTCTTATGCCTCCATGTTGTGGGGGATTATACTTTTCTATTCGAATATAATTTATTGTTTAGTGATTTAATTATATTATTGGCAATCTTGTTTGTGTGTTTGTGTATTGTTGTAAGTCATTATAATTATAATAGATCCCATACTCATGAAAAATGCTTAGCCCAATTTTTTTTTATATAATTTTTATAACATGTTTTACAACTTGATATTAATTTCTAATGCTTATATTGATTAAGAAAGTGAAATTTTAAAAATTTCTATCCTTAATTATCTTGGTACAGTTTTCTCACATTAAAATTAAGTTTATTTATTCAAGCAAATAAAAAACTGATAATTTTTTTTTCTTTCACAGTTTTGTCTGAACTCTGATTATAAACATAATTGACTAAAGAGGAAATACACTCACTCCTTTAACCATCATCAGGCGAAACCCCTAAGACAACTATGCCTAGGGCTAGAACAGACTGGGTTTTCAGATATCATTAAATGAAAACTAGAATAGAGTAACAAAAATAGAATCTAGTCTTGTCTTGTTCTTTGATTAAAAACTCAGTCTTGTCTTTTTCAAAAAGATCTTTTAAACCTACAGTGATATGATTAAAGCAAGTAGTACTCTGGTCATGATCATAACCATGTTGGATTTGACTAGTGACTTATTATAACAAAAGAATGTCACTAACATTTACGCTAAGTAAGGAAGGCATTTATTTTCTAGAACATTTACCCCAATTCTTTGCTTTCTGTCTTTGTCAAGGAAATACATATTTGTATGTCTCTGTCACTGAAAGATATAAAGAGAGACAGAGAAAGAGGGAGAGAGAAGAAGGGGCTCGAGTTTATTACCATGAAACGGTCTAGTTCCGGCTCTTCCGGCTGACTGAGGGAGCTTGCATTGGTAATTTGACAGGGTAACTTCAGCCTCGCACTAGGACTTTGGTCTACATCACCAATGTTTCCAACCTGGAAAGCAAGAAGAAACAATGGAAAATCGTATTCAAAACCTTTGCTTCCCTTCAGGCAGATGAGACATATATATACATATGCTGCAAAAGACAAATATATAAATATATGCAATAGTAATATATGCATTAATTTATGGAATCTGATCACTTTGATCTGAGAAACAAGAACTTGAAAAGAAAAGGTAGCCTTTATCATCTTGAAAAAGGAACTTATATTGTTTTATTGGCAACGCAAATCTGAACCGTTTAATGAATCTTGTAAATGAGCTTCAACTTTAAACTCTTGAAAGCTTGGTCGTATCAAAATATATGTGTGGGATACAGAGATAAAAGCATATTTTGAAATTTTCATCGGAATAAGAAAAGAAAAAGAAATGAAAAGAAAACATGAATAAATTTATCATGCAGCTCAAGATCATGCTGTGAGCTTTTAAACTTTGCCATTTGTGTTTTGTAGAATAAGTCTCAGGTTGTATTGTTGGTTAGTGCTAGCCGCTTAACATATATTACACTCTTGACGATGCATAAAATTAAGTGTAGAAGACGAAACATACTATATACACACACTTTAGTATAATTTTGATCCCTCAAGATCATGATCAAATTAATTAAGACTTGGTACCATTGCCATAGGTGGTTGGAATGGGTCAAATGAAGTTGAGTTAAATATGCTGAGAAAAATAATGTCACAGTCAATTTGAATATAACTTCTAAATGCAAGCTAGCAGAAAGGAATACTAAAAAAAGCTTCTGATAAAATTTAACATCACAGTGCACAAACAAGGGGGAGAGAAAGAGAGAGAGAGAGAGAGAGAGAGAGAGACCTCCAAACAGTCAATGTGAGTCTGGACCAAGAGTCCATACAAAGGATGGCTAGAGATTCTCTTCTTGAGAGCCTCATCAGTATTGTCAACCAAGAGATCATCTTCTTTCTCAGTACTGTTCATGCCTCTACTCTCCATCTTTCCTACAAATTATGGGACTTCTTCAAACCCTTTGGTGCAAACTATTTGACAAGTTTCCCAGATTTGCTCAAATTAATGAGGCCCACTTCTAACTACTAGTGGTGAAACGAGGGCAGCAACAGGACTGTTGCTCCCATTTTCTTGATTGACCCATGCAAGCAATGGCATCCGTCAGAGAACACTTATTGAAGCATTGGCCTTTTGGCTTAATCTCTTCTGTCTTTTTACATACATGAAAGTTACATTTCAAGGGTTTCTCGAATAGTGGGGAGCTTTGATCGTATATTTTCTCTATGTTGCCAGTCCCTTCCTCGTCTTTTATCTTTCCTTTTGTACTGCTCATTCTCCCACTTTTTTTCTAAAAGAACATCCAAATTCGTTACTGTTTTATTGTAATGAGAGGACTCTTCTTTACTATCTGTGTAGTTTGTTCCCATATGTGGAATGAATGCTTTGCAACTGTTCATTTCCCCTGGGAAAATTGACAGTTCAACATGTGATTCCTAGTCTTATCAAACCAACACAACCCACAAAATTAGGGTTTTGAAATTGTTTTATATTACTATTTAACATATTTCTTTAAATGAAAATCATCTCTTTAATTGAAAGTATTTAGGTGATATCATATGAATTGTTTTATATTATTTTTTAAAATATTCGAAATTTATCTAGATAAAAAAAGAAAATGAGATGATGAAATTTGAATCGTGACTACTTATCATCAATATTTTAATATTCTATTAAAAAATTATTTTAATTCAAAAAATTAATATGTTAAGTGAGATTTTAAAAATAATTTTATATTATTTTTTAATATATACTATCTTATAAATAATTGTAACACATGAAGCTATAGGATTAGGAAGTGTATTGCGGTTGGAGTTTTAACGCAATATATTCTTAACGTCCAAAAATGATTACATAATTTTCTTACTAAAGAGGAGATGGCAAGTTCAAACATGAGATTTAACATGCTTTAAGATCAAGTTCAAGTAGGAGGTTTAGAGTTCCCCCACGTGATAACAATGTCTCCTAACATAGCTGATACGAGAGTTTAACGTGACAAAAAAATAAAAATAAAAATAAAAAATAAAAAATAAAAAATATATATATCGAGTAAATGATACATTAGTCCCTCTAGTTTCATGAAACCAATTAATTAGTCCTCCTAATTTTAAAAACTGTTATTTAGTCTTTTAATCCGTGTTAATCATATTTAATTTAATATTATTTTTATTTCACAAAATCTCTTATTTTCTATCATTCCTTTCATATTTTTTCATATTTTTTATTTTTTCTATTTTTAAAATAAAAAATTAAAATAAATTAAAAAAGAGAAAAAAAACTAAAATATAAATAGATTTCAAAATATGAAGACTAAATGATTAATTAATGTTTAAAATAAGAGGGACTAATTAATTCCTTTCTCAAAATGAAAGGGCCTGATTCATAATTTACTCTTCAAATATATGAACAGAGGCTCGGGCCAAGCCAGATTGTACTAAGCGGGGAAGACGGCTAAAGCCCAACTGAACTCACTACAAGAGTTAACAGGGATTTATTGGTCAAATGTTTAGCCACTGGGCCTGAGGCTGGTTGCCTTTAATGACAAAGTCTTTTATTTCCTCACTTAATCTAACAGCAATTTCTTAGAGAAAGTTCATGACCGTGTTTTTTTGGTTGAATAAAAATGTCCTGGATCTTTTTTTTTTTTTTCAAACCATTTTCTGCCAATACTGAGTAAATTATAAATTAGTCCTTTTAATGTTTCAAAAAAATTAAAAAAATATATATATAAATAAATAAAATAAAATAAATAGTCTCTCTAATATCAATAACTAATTGATTAGTTCTTATATTTATAAATTTATTTGTAACTTGATCATTTTACTTTTGTTTTTTAACTTTTTTTTACTAAATAAAAAAAAGAAAAAAGTAAGTAAAAAAATATGAAAAGTTGATGAGAAAGGAATATATTTTTTTTGAGATAAAATAATATTAAATTAATCAAGATCCAATATGATCAATAAAATAATTAATTTTTCAAAAAAAAAGAGAAACTGTTTAATTTGTTTTGCAAAGCTAGAGAATAATTTATAATTTACACTCGCCAATACTAGTTGGTTGTTGGAAAATTTTGAAATCGTAGATGAGAAATTTTATCTTATTTTAAGAGTAATTATCAATGCTTATCCATAAAGAGATATAGATATAAAGATAAAAGAAAAATAATAGATAGAGAATTAAAAAAAGAAAAGAGTTTAGATAAAAATATTCTTATTGCTTATGTGAGTCTGGATGTAATTTTAATTTCTCTATTTCTTGTTTTTTTTTTCTTGCAAATGAATTTATAAAATTACTGTCATAAGTTACTCAAGAAGTATTTTAAAATTTCTCATCATAAATAAAGTTGGGTTCGTAACCTCTCGAAGCTTATCCTAGAGATCGACTATTGATTTCTATTATTAATTACCATCGATCACCTCTACTATCATGATTGAAAAGGTCCTCTCATCAATTACCATGGTGAGTTGAGCCATTGCCCAATCGGTCTTATTTAAAAACATCCATGTTTTCACACCATTCAAATCAACAAAATTTCTTGATCTTTTCCATTAACGTACGCATCTCTCTGATTCTTCCTGCATGTATATAAATGCTTCACGTTCAAAAGCTAGCTGCACAATTACACATACACAAGAAATGAGAGAGAAAGAGACCAGGAACGGAAGACATGAAGCTATTGTTGTTCTTCTTACATTTATTCTGTTTGATTCTACTCTTTAGTCCATCTTCTCAATGTATGATGTAAGTGATAACTTTTGCTAATTTTCTTCAATTCATTATGCCAATTATTACATTAAATTATACGATGACGAGTTTATTAAGTCAGATTCTAAGTTATAATTAGCTAATGTGAGCAAAACATTACAGTGTCTGTGTCGACAGCATGTTTTCTCTTCCTACAAGGAATAACGATAATAGAAGAGGCAGCGACCAAGATCAGCCAAGAACTGCACCCCATGCTCCTACTGGGAGACTATCTACGCGTCCTTGAGCTTTAATTAAATGTATTTGATAGCTTTTGGACTTCTGTAGTTTTATATTTCATTAGAATGTTTTAGCTAGGAACGTACTTTTAGTCTTGCAATAGAAAAACATAGTGTTTTTGAGGGATTATACAGTGTTTTTTTTTTCAATGGATTTTAGGGTTTTTTGTGGCCTATAAATAAGTTTGTACGGGAAAAAATGAGATAAGCCAGGCCCAGGTGTACTCTATTGAGTTATAAATATATTTTTTATAATGTTGTCTATCTTATATATATATATATATATATATATATATATATATATTGTCTATATTATAGTAACTGTGTTATTCTTTATAATTTATTTCTTATAATGTATAACCAAAGGAAAAACATTAATATTTTTTTTTAAATTATTTTGGAATTAGTTTTCTAAAAAAAAAAAGATCTCCTGATTTTTTTTTTTTTTTACTTTTTTGATTTACCCTAAATGAACTTATCATTTGACAATTGCCTTCAAACGCACAAAAAGCCAGACTTTTATATAAACTTTGCATAATTAAAACATATATTTTTTTTTACTTAGCCCAATAACCTTCTTGAAGAAATTACATCGTAACATTTGATTGTCATGTTTGACTTTTGATCAATCAACTTGAATATCCTTACGAATGAAAGTACCTTTATCAAAACATCTCTACTTTTTTATTAAATGATTTGAATTGTATTTAAGAGAATCATTTAAATTCACAACTTAATCCATATAAACCAAATGTCTATTATCTTTTTAAAAATATGATAAAAATTTTAAGATCAATTCACAAATTGCGATGTAAGCATCAAAAGATAAACATTTGAACACAAACGAGTGATTGTGTTGAGAGAACGATAAATTTTTGATCTCAACTAGTACATGGGAGCATTTTGTGGCCCAACTTGAATGGTAATCCACAAAATTGAGAACACTTGAGACAAAGCCAAAGACCTAACAATTATAATCGAGTTCAACAAGCCGGTCGAACATTGGCATCATCTTGCCAACTAGAGGAACAAAGACCCAAATAATAAGCTTTTAAGCATAATTCAAAGCAGCCAAAGCCATCAAGCTAGGGGTAAAAGAACATACCTTGAGAGAGGATGACAACCCAACCAAAGTTTGGCCAAGACAAGTTGAGAATGGTCTCACAGGGGTTGATCACAATAGGTGGTGAGTTATCACCTTCTAAGATTCAAAAAAGTCCAATCCACCTCGGCTTATTTTGCGAAAGGTGAAAAACTAAGTTCATAATAAATAGTGACCAAGGCCCGAAGGGGTAGGGAAATCATAAGAGTACTCGTAGGATATGGTTTAGACGAAGTCCAAATAACCAAGAATGAGTCACTAAAAAGGAGTTGAGTGTTGACAAGGTGGGGCAACCTATGTTTCTCACAAGTAAGAAACTAATAATTGCAATCAACCTTATTGATATATTTTAGGAATTTCAACTCAAATGAAAGGAATGGACCATCATTCAAACATAGAATTCAAAGGTCACAATGACATAAAAGAGGCTTATATTCGCCCAAATCATTCATTCGGACAGGATCGCCTCACGGTAGATCATCATTCGGGCATGATTGCCTCACAATAGACTATCATTTAGACGAGGTCGTCTCACAATAAATCATTCTTTTTGGTAGGATCACCTCATAATAGACCATCATTCAGGCGGGGTCACCTCACAATAGATCATTTTTTTTAGGTAGGGTCATCTTATAATGGACTATCGATCGGGCATGGTCGCCTCACAATAGACCATGTTTTTAGGCAAGGTCACCTTACGGTAGATTATCATTCGGGTAGGATCGCCTCACAATAGACTATCATTCGGGCATGGTCATCTCACAATAGACCATTCTTTTCGGTAAGATCGCCTCCTAATAAACCATCATTCGAGCAAGGTTGCCTCATAATAGACTATTCTTTCAAGTAGGGTCACCTTACAATAGACCATCAGTGAGGCATGGTCGCCTCACAATAGAGCATGTTATCGGGTAAGGTTGCCTCTTAATAGATCATTCTTTTAAGCAAGATCGCCTCATAATAGACTATCATTCGGGCATGGTCATCTCATAATAGACCATCCTTTCATGAAGGGTCGCCTTATAATAGACCATCATTCAAGCAAGGTCACCTTACAATAGATCATTCTTTCGAGTAAGGTCACCTCATAATAGATCATTCTTTTAGGTAAGGTCATCTTATAATAGACCATCATTAAGGTAGGTTCGCTTCACAATAAATCATTATTTTAAACATGATCATCTCATAATAGACCATCATTTAGATAGGGTCATCTCATAATTGATCGTTCTTTTAGACAATGGTCGCCTCTTAATAGACCATCATTCAAGTAGATTCACCTCATAATAGATCATTTTTCTATGTAGAGTCGCCTCATAATAGATCATCATTCGGGTAGGATCTTCTTATAATAGATCATTCTTTCGAGTGAGGTCATCTCATAATAGACCATTCTTTCGAGCATGATTGCTCGATGATAGACCATTCTTTTAGGTAGGGATGCCTTATAATAGATAATTCTTTTAGATAAAATCGCATAACTTAGGTTATCGTTTTAGGTAGGATTGTTTAATAATCACTTCTCATTTTCAAGCAAGGCTACCTAATTTAGTTTATTATTTAAGCAGATTGCCTAATGATCATTTTCCTTATTCGGATAAATTGTCTAGCTCGGTTCATCATTTTAGATAGATTTTCCCAACGATCTTCTCATTTTTAGGTAGGGTTGCCTAACTTAGTTCATCGTTTAGGCAAAGTTGTCTAGCGATCATCTCTCATTTTATGTGTGATTACCTAATCATCTTCTCATTTTCGAGTAGGGTTGCCTAATTTAGTTTAATATTTAGGTAGGATTGCCTAATGATCTTTTTATTGTCGAGTAAGGTTGTCTAATTTAGTTCATCATTTAAACAGAGTTACTTAACGATCTTCTCATTTTCCGCGGTGGTTGCCTAATTTAATTCATCGCTTAGGGAAGGTTGCCTAACGATTTTTTCATTTTTAGGTGAGGTTGCCTAATTTAGTTCATCATTCAAGCAAAATTACGTAACAATCATCTCATTTTCGGTAGGATTACCTAATTTAGTTCATCGCTTAGGTAGAGTTGCCTAATAATCTCCTCATTCCAAGGTAAGGTTACCTAATTTAATTCATCACTTAAGGTTACCTAATTTAGTTAATTGTTTTAAGCAAGGTTGCCTAACGATAATTTTCATATCATGCAGGATTGTCTAATGATCATTCTCATATTAGGTAGGGTTGTCTAATTGAGTTCATCATTCTAAGAAAGATTGCCTAATGATCATTCTCATGTCGTGCAAAGTTGCCTAACTTAGTTCATCATTTTAGGTCGGATTGCTTAATGATCATTCTCATTTTTAGGTAGGGTTGCCTAACTTAGTTCATTATTCTAGGTAAGTTGCCTAATGATCATTCTCATATGAGGTAGGTTTGCCTAACTTAGTTCATCATTCTAGGTATGGTTGCCTAATGTTCATTCTCTTTTAGGCGAGGTCGCCTAATTTAGTTTGTTGTTTTAGGCAAGGTTGCTTAGCGATCATTTTTTATTTGTTGGTAGGGTTGCTCGATTTAGTTCATCATTTTAGGTAGGGTTGTCTAGCGATCATTTTTCATTTTTAGCGAGGGTTTCCTATTCATTTTATCATTTTAGGCGAGTTATCTAGTGACTATCACATTTTATTTTTCAAGGGCAAGCCGCTCGCATAATGAGGCTATTGCATTTTATTTTTTGAGGGTAAGCCACCTTGCACAATGAGGTTATTACCTTTTGTTTTTCAAGAGCAACCATCCTACATGATGAGGCTATTGTATTTTATTTTTCGAGAGCAAGCCATCCTACACGATGAGGCTATTGTATTTTATTTTTCGAGAGCAAGCCATCCTACACGATGAGGCTATTGTATTTTATTTTTCGAGAGCAAGCCATCCTATATGATGAGGCTATCGTATTGTCTTTTATTTTTTGATGACAAGCCGCCATGCATAATGAGACTATTGTATTTCATTTTTCAAGGTAAATCACCTCGCACAATGAGATTATTGCATCTTACTTTTTTTGAAATGGCCACTAAGGAAAACCAGATTAGTTTTAGTACTAAATTTAATTTTTTTTTCATTACAAGCTCGGTAAGCAAACACAATATGAAATTCACACTTCGACTAGAATTTGGATCGTGAGTATTGTAAAGAAGAGACAACTCGTCATAACCTAAAATTTCTCTTTTTTTGTTTTATTTTTTTCTTATTTTTTTATTTTACTTATTTTGGAATTTACTACAAAAACAAAAAAGTGGAAAAAGAATAAAAAATACAAAAAAATATATAAAATATAAAATACAAAAAAAAGGAAAAAAAATTATTGAAGAGATGACTTATCCCCTCAACCTTAAAAATCTCCTATATAAACACCTCTTTCCTTTTATTTTTA